AGAGAGAGAGAGAGAGAGAGAGAGAGATGTATATTCAAATAATAACTGCCTTAATATTTATGCAAAATATTATGAATATTTAAATTTATTACATATTTCTTCATTAATATATCCTATTATAATAGTTCAAATTCCTTCCGGATAAATACAATGTATCTACGTATATGTGGATATATAAAATTAAACATTTTTTATTCAAAATTATTAAAAAGTAGTACTTAATGATTAATAAAACACAATAATATTTAAAAATCTTAATGTTCTATATTTAATTTATTAAATCTTGATTACATATTAATTAGAATTGCTAGGTTTGATAAAAATTTTTTAACAATTTAACAATTTTTTTCTTTTCTTTCATTTTAATACACTTTTTGTTTTTATGTAAAGATAAAATTTCCTATTTAAATTTTTTTGTGAAATATTAATATAATTAAATTAAATCAAATCAAGATATTGGATGCATAGATTTATAAATTGAAATAATTCTTCTATAACAATGTTAGTTTTTATCAAAGTTATAAAGATTCTTAGGGTTGGTGATACATTATTTATCGGAATTGAGTGCTTTGTTCGCTATTAAAATAAAAATTGCTAATATTTTATTATAATTTTCGAGTCATGTAGTATTTTTCTCTCTATGATGAGTATTGAGCTGAAAAAAATTTATATCGTGAGATTTGAATTTAAAGTAATTTCTAGATGTAAGTCGATGACGCTATTTTTATAATATATATTAGCGCATTAATTTATTTAGAATTAATAATTCGAGCGTAAAAAAAATCGAGAAGCTAAAAATTATTATAAATCAATGATACGGTAATTTGTGTAAATATAATGGACTAATTGTGCTAATACCATATGTTTTGTATTTCTTCTATCATTCACAAATCTTATGTAAATATGAGGTTGTGTCATGTAGATAATCTCGATTCGCATTTAGTCGGAATAGCCTCGTAGTCTCACAATGCTCATTTTTCTTCATTTTTGTCCAGCCTTTTTGCGATAAATTAAGATATCCCCTGTTACTAGTTTAGTTAGCCCACTGGCTCTGATGTATTATTTTCTTATCTTACCAATATGCTTTAAATATTCTGCATAAATATTAAAATATAAATTAAATATAGATGGCTTAAGGAATTAAACGCAATTGCTTATTAAACGTATTATAATAACGAGCATATCCTAGTTAATCAGAATATTAAATAAAAAGTCAATAAATCTTTGATAAACATTTACTTATGGAAAATTTATTTTATAAATACTGAAAGGAATTTTAATGTGGTGTGTGTTTAGAAATTATGGGCAGTTTGTGATATGGCGATGAACGTTATTTTTACTAAGACGACAAACTTCGACATGAAGGAATTTCCAAGCGAGACGCGAATACCAACGATGTATTTCAAAAGAGCCGATGAGATAATCTCAAATACCAAGAATTATCTACCTGCAGAATTACAAATCAATATGAACAATCCTAAAGGGAAGGGAACGGCTATCAATTCAATAACGAACGAGAGGCCCAGTAGGAAAACGAAAGCAAAACAGAAAGAGACAGGCATTGGACCAAATGAAACTGATGCTAGAGTAAGATGAAACTTCGTAACTTTTGGTCTTTCAAATTTAGTGAGATAGCGTGTATTCATCAATGAACGAACGGATGTCAGCTTGAGCTCAAAATGATTAAACTAATTGCATTGCAGTACTTGTAATAACATTGTGATTTTAAAAATTGATCTATTATTCAATACCATTAAGGGTTTTAAAATCTGTTTCTTATGTGCAATACAATATTAAAAGAAATGAGAAAGTTTATTGGAATTTTTACATTATATAAACATTTGACTAGCAAGCAAGCAAGCAAGCAAGCAAGCTGTTGCAAAAATGGGAGCAATAGAATAATTTCATAATTATTACTTTTAAATTTCTGCATTTATATCGGATAAGCATTTCCTACTCTTATCAAATTCACCTAAACCAATACATTGTGTCTGTTCATCTTTTTTAATAATAATAATAATTTGTAGAATAGATTTATCATCTTATCAATACGTCATTCTTACCGACCATATGCTAATGAATGGCTTTTTTCTACGAAATTATTCAATTTATGTACAATCCAAAAATTGTTACTGCCGACATTGAGATAAATCGTGAAAAATTTCGACTACGCGCCTAAACTCGTTCAGCGGCTTGAAATTGGCATTGAAATTGTTTATTATTATTTAACCATATAATATTGCCTTCCGATTAGAGATATGTAAATTTTTCATATACGAATTACCAATCCCGAAATTTAATGTTTAAGCTTTCTTTATTTTTTCTTTTTCTTTTTTTACTTTTTATCTGAATTATAAAAATTAACTCCATACTCGATAAAAATATTGTAGAAAATTTGTCGTTCAAAATATTAAAACGTCTTCGACTCCTATAAACATTTTTCCTCATTTTATTTTATTTTACGAAAAATTTATTTATTAATGTAAATACTCTTAATAAAGAATAAGTTGTAAGAAAATTTTAAATCATAAAAATTCAGTCTAATTATCGAACACTGTACTATTCAAAAGAAATGAAATATTTAATTAAATACTTAATATATTTTTTAGAAAGTTGAATTTGTTCATTCATTGGTCAGTTTACCCTATCCATTAATAATTTAAATAGATCGAATTTTCTGAAAAATAATATAAACTTTTTCATCTTAATATTGCAATTTAAAATATAAGAGAGCCCCTTAAGCAATCATAACTGTTATTTCAAGCTGCATGTTGGCGAAAGGAAGTGTATTGATGCTCAGGTAAAGGCACTATCAATTGATGTATGTTATAGACGTGAAATTTTCGTAGTAAACTCTGTTGTAATTTAGCTGCATGTGCTAAAGAAATGCAGATTAAATATTTTTTATGCGTATATACATATATATATATATATATATTTTTTTTTTAATTTTATTTATTTATTATTTTATTTTTTATTTTTATAGCCTGCAGAAGCATCCGAGACAAGGATTCACCTTCCAGGTTTAGTTGATGATGTATGTATACAATAAACTATTAAACTTCATTATAATATTTATAATCATAAGATACTTTATTTTGCATATGTGTAAATTTTGCAATAGTGATGTGTAAGTTCATATTCACATTTAAATATATATAAATATCACGTAATTGATTTACTTATTTATTGATTCTTATAGAATTTGTTAATTAATGAAGCTGTTTTTAAATCGGTTTAAACAGATTTTAATATAATGTCAATTTTTAGATCGATGAACCCCCAGAAAAGAAACCGCATAAGGATTCAGATAAGTAAATAATTGTGTAAGTGAACTATTTAAAGAAACAAAAAAAGAAGAAGAAAAAGAAGAAGTAATAAAGTGAATGAAAATAAATTGAAGATGAAGAAGATGTGATAACGCTATTATACGAACATTATGTGAACATCTTATAAATTAGAAACAGATTATTTTGGTTATGTACAACAGTTAATGATATACCCGAGTCGTTCGCGTATTTCTAGAGAAAGAAAAAATAAAACTTTAGTATGTAAGTTTACGATGACGCGGTGACGTAAAACTACTTGACGCGAGTCGAAGTATTTCGGTGAAAGGTAGAAGAATTGCGGCTGCCAAAAAATCTAAACTTTGTTGAGATTAAACGGCGCTTCATAATATCTGTAAAAAACAATCGACGTTAAATTATCATTAAAATACATTTTGGTGGCAGATTCGCGTCGAATCGTATAGAGTTTATTATTGAGACTATTCTCACCCTGGTTAGAAAATTCTATTTGCTCAAATTAAAAACAATTAAAAACAAAACCTCGATTTAATTTAAATTACAGACCAATCTATACAAAGAAAATTTTTATTTATAATAATGTCTGTTGTTAATTTTATAATTCAATGATTATAATACATTAGGCATTTATAACTTATTTATTTAAAAGCAATCGATCGTAGTAACAATAAAGCTTAATTGTTATAAAGAGATGAAATTAAAATTAAATTAAGACAGTTTAAAGTAATATAATCCCAAATCATATATTTTATTTAACTAATAAATAATAAAAACATCGGTAATAGGGTACAACAATTATCCTTATAATCTGTTGAATTACAATTTGTTTTTTGTTTTTGTTATTTCGAAATTATTGCTCGACGATGAAGCTCTAGTTAAGCAAGAAATAGGAGCAAATTTGGCCATTTTTTCAATTGTTTTTAATTTTATTTTCTAACCAGAATATGTCATACAATTCAAGTTTTGCGTACACATAAGCCCGTTCGTTTTCCAACGTTTATCTGATATTCTTTGTGTCATTTAGTGTTAATTTATATAAGTAAAATAAAAAATAAATTTTTTTTTTTTATATATATAAAGCTTATATTGTTATAACCTTAAGGTTTTTCTTAGAATTATATTTATTTATGTGTAATTTAATTTGTTTACAATACTTACCCTTATAGGAATAACTACACAATTATTGGTAGTTAAATTTATGCTACTTCTTTAGTTATTTTTACTAGGGTATTTAGTAATATTAAATTTATGTAAAATTTAAAATTAAAAACTAAAAAAAAATTAAAAAAAAAAAATAAAATGGCACAAAGGTATTAGATGCTTAGATTCATAAAAGTGTATATTTTTCAGATCATTTATAAATCTACATCATTTTTGTCAATCCAAAGTTGATTGTTTTTAAATACTTTTATATAAACATTGATTATCAATGAAAAATAATTTAAGCGTAATTATTTTTCGTAAAAAAAAAAGCGTTTACTTTCATTTAAATAATTATATTTCATGTTAATATTAAATAAAATAAAAGGTTCGATTTGGCTATCGAACGGCATATATTATAGAATTTTTCGTTTATATATTATGTTAAATGTAAAGAATATTATTTTAAAATGCTCAATTATATACTTACAAAATTTGCATTTAATTTATTTAATTTTTAATTGAATTTGAATACAATTATTCATAATACTTATAATATTCTTTTACAATTATTTTGAAATATTATTAATTACATGATATGAAATTTGAAAAAGTTTGTGCTGTTCGATTGCCAATTTAGAAGTATTATTATTAAATAGCCGTATACCGTCGTTGTGTTGATTCCAAAATAGTTTTCAATTCATTTTTCTCTACTATTTCATTTAATTTGAGTAGAAAAAAATCATTACATTTCATTCAATTGTATTCGCTAATTATTCACAGTTTATAAGTAATGATATAATTAAGATAAAAATGAAGTTGATTGCTGCTTTGGATATAATTTAATTATTTTTTTTGTGCAGGCCTAGTTCTTATAATTTTTTTGTGGTATCAACATAATTATAATTACTATTATTAATATGGTGTGTTTGAGTATACGAAAGATTTGTAAAAGGTACGCGAGCTTTGTGAGTGAAACTTGTTACGAATGATGATGGTTGGTTGAGATTCTAATATAAATATAATAATATTGTGAAAAAGAAACAACACACTTACTCCTTTTACACTGAAATTACAGTACTGTGTTGTTGATGATTTTTATTCGTTGCATTCCATCTGAAGTAAAACGTTTTTGTATGGTAATCGATAAATTTTTATGTATTGAAATAAAGATTACGATTATTCATTATTCGCTCTTTACGACATTTATAAATATTACGGCATGATTTATAACTCGACGCACTTTCTTTACTATCAAATAATGAAACATGTTTATTATAAATTTAACGATTTCATTAATGTAAAAACTGTCATTGTCTTCGTCTCAACAATTACAGGCTCAATAAACATAGTACTGACATTTCTGTGCACTGGCAGTAATTTACCAATTAAAAAAATATTCTCAAAAATTATAGATTCGTTTAAGCAGTGCTATCCACTTGTCAATTGATGACATCCGAGTATTGTACTGGATCTATAATAAAATCAGATAAAGTAAAAAATTTTAATTGCAAATTTAATACTCAATTTATTTGTAATAATTAATTTCTCTCTAAAATTAATCAATAACACGAGATCATAGTTTCGATAAATCTTTTATATTTTTTTTATAAATATTTGATGAGAAAGAAATTTAATTACACGTTTGTTTACACATACATATTTGTATTTGTAGTAGTATATATATAAATTTTTTTTCTTTTTTTAATTATCGCTTCTTCTTATAGGAACCTTTTTTAGTTGATTTCCCTGCAGTTGATTTGGATTTGTCGAATGATTTATTCGACTTCTGCTTATTTTTCTGATTAACTCTGCAATAAATAATTTCTTTTAGTATCAAACAAAAAATATTTTTGTAAAACTCAACCAATATATTTAATTTGATTTTGATTCACAATCGTTACGTACTCATATCTCAATTTCTTAACATTCTTCTTGCTAACATCCGTTAAATCATTAGCAAACGATGATATTTTGCGTTTCTTTGCCCCTAAAACATTGAAAATATGACAAATTTAGTTTAAAAATAAGCTCAAAAACTTAAAAATTATTTTTAATGATTTACTCACTATTTTGATGTGTATGAGCTCTATCGTTTTCATCCACAATTGTTCTAATTTTCCTTTGTTTACTACTTTTTTTTGCTATTCTCGCCTGGTATGCAGCCACCTTGTTCAATTCTTTCAAAGCTCTTTCTTCAGCTGGATCCACTGCTTTAACCTTTGTCTTACGTTTTTTCGTTTTCTCTTTAACAATATTTAAAGGTTGTTTCTCATTCTGATCGTCTTTCTTAACTTTCTTTTCTTTTCCCGTCAATAATAATCTTTCTATAAAGAAATAAATATAACTTTAATACGATCTAATAATACATATGTGTATTTATTGCTATAATTATTGTATGTTTATTTATTAATTGTTTGTAAATATACGATATTAGATTAAATTTTCTCATTTTTATTTCTTGTATTATCCGATGATAAAATAAAAAACAAAAATTTGTAAAAATATCATTAAAAATATCAGTTTGCCTGCCTTTTTCTGTCTGTCGCTCCTTTTTACTTTGGAACCAAACGCGGTGATCCGTTGACTCGGTTTCTTTAAGAATGTTTTCCGCCCTATTCGCTTGGTTTTCTATTTTTGCTATTTCGCGCTCTTGCCGCTCTTCTTCCAATATTTGATTCACGTCGGCCTCGATCGACTTAAGTTTCTTATTGTATTTGTCTATGATGTCGGGAGGTATTATTCTATGCTTTATTGGATTTTTTGCTTGTTTTATTAATTCTTTAACTATCGTACGTTCTTGTTCGCCTGCCAATGACACGGAAACACCCCCACGACCAGCTCTAGCAGTACGACCGACTCTGTAAAAAAAAAAAAAATTAACTGATAATATCAATTACCTTCGGTATAAAAATGTCTACTCACGACACGTTCAATTAATCGACATCGGCAGCTTACCGGACCAATCATTGTCTAATTTAATTGAACTGGCGCAAATGATAAAAACACTGATATTTCAATAAAAATAATCGTAAATAAACGAGGGTGCAATACACATTTAAGAAACAATCAATAACCATATTTTTCTGACGAAACGCAATGTAATTGAACGACAATTGTATGCAAATTGTGAAGCGGTTAATGGCAAAAAGTAATACGGATAATAAATGAAAAATGCATCGAACATTTTAAAGTCATAACTTACAAAATCTCAAGCTTAAAATAATAATTTGAAAATAGTTATAGATAAATTATAAATATATTTTCAGATTATAAAAAATTATAAGCAAATAAAGATTTAAAATGTATATTTGGAATAAAAAATATATTTGATGGAAAAAATCAATTTAATATCTTGTAGTTTAAGATGTAATATAATAAATAAAGTAACAATAAAATTTGTTTAAATAATGGAGTCCTCAAATGAAACGAGTGGTTAATTCAACAGACACAAAAAGAGCGTAAATTTGCAAATTTCTAATGCCATTTAAAAGAAACTCACTTTCTATTAATTGTAACGCACGTTCAATTATCAAGACTTCAATTGTAAATAAACTTCGTTCAATGATTTTTAAGAATCAATGAATTAAAATCCAAGGACATTTATCAGCATTGTCATATTATTATCGATACAATAACACAATCATAAATATAGTTTTGTAATTAAAAAAAGAAAAAAGAAAAATGCTTTAAGATACATGCTTATTACCTGTGAATGTAATGCTGTAACGTCGCAGGCATAACAAAATTAATAACAGTTTTAATTCCACTTATATCCAATCCTCTAGCAGCAACATCGGTTGCTAATAATACATCGATTTCTTCATCTTTGAATTTTCTTAAATTTTCTAAGCGTTGAGGCTGTGGCAGATTTCCATGAAGTTCTCCTACCTATATAAGTATTCAAAGTATCATCTCACATTTATCTAATTTAATCTAATCCAATAAATAATAAACAGCACATACTTTTACACCTAATAAACCTAATAAAATATGTAGTCTGTGTGCTTGTTTTTTCGTTTGGACGAAGACGATTGTATGATCGTGAAAAGTTCGACATATCAAAGCAACTAATATGGCCTCTCGATCTCCTTCCCTTTCCTTTCGAATTCTGAATTCACAATTTTTGTTACAATTTTATCGCTCGTATAAAATCAACCACTAGAGTAATTTATATTAATTTGTACCTTATAAATTCTTGTCTTAAATTAAACGCTACGTCTTGATTACTATCAACAAAAATCCTCACAGGTTTATTAAGGGACACCGCGGCCAAATCATTGACTTCCTCGGTCATTGTCGCAGAGAATAATATCGTTTGTCGAGTTCTCGCACACTGTCTTATAATGTGCTTCATTTGCTCCGCAAAATATTCATCTAACATTCTGCAAATTAATTAACGTACTTACGGCATATGTACATAAACGATACCTGAATAAACGATAGCTGAACGTAATTTTTTATTTACCTGTCGGCTTCATCCAGAATTAAAATTTCGATAGTGTCCAAAGAAAATGATGGTGTATTTGTCAAATGGTCAATTAGACGTCCTGGTGTCGCTATCACAATATCTGGATTTTTTCTAAGTACACTTTCCTACATTTTATAAAAATATTTTTTTTTAAATTATTTCTGTTGCTATACTGTTTGCTATCGAATACGAATGACATTCCTTAACACTTTCATACTCGTGCAAAGCATCTTAATTATTGTTTATTTTCTATACTCTTGACCATGTAAGTATGAATAAGTCACTTAAAGCTTAATAAATAAATATTATAGTATAAAAAATTCTTATAGGCGATAAAATTTAAGATTTCTTAATCCATTCGTAGTGGAATATTTTTATGATTTTTAAAGCCAGTTTACTTTTCAGTGTAATTCATTTTTAAATTCAATTTTTATATATAAGATTTTAATTATAAATTTACGAGATGTATTTAATGTAAAGGGTTATTATGAAGTTCAAGATGCTTAAATTCAATATTACTTAAGCTAGGTGTCAACTTATTTTTAAAATGTCAAATACGGATATGGTTAATTTACCTGAATTTTAACATCTAAACCACCGACTGACAATCCCACATCAACCGAAGTGAACTGAGAGAGTTGTTTGGTAACTTGATAAACTTGAACGCCTAGTTCTCTCGTTGGTACGAGAACTAAAACCCTCGTGACTGCTGTTCCATCCTGGGGCTTGTATATTAATCTTTCCAACGTTGGCAGCATGTACGCCGCAGTTTTTCCAGTCCCTGTTGCAGCACAACCGCATATATCTCTACCTAATAACGCTACTGGAATGGTTGAAATCTGAATTGGAGTCGGATTTATAAAGTTCATTGAGGTAACAGCCTAAAATAACGAATAAAATTAATTCAAGCTTTTGTTTGATAATATAATTAATAAATTACCTTTAACAATGGTCTGGATAAATTCATTTGATAAAATGACTTTGTTGTATCGTAGGTTGAGCATTCTTCAAAATCAAGCAATTCTTTCTCCTCTTTACTAGTTTTTTGTTTTTTAGTTTTTCTATCTTTTGTTTTAATTGTATCTAAAATTTTCAATAGCTATTATTGAATTGTCGTCACAATTATTCAAACATTATAAACATTATTAAGTATTAAATATGATTATTATTTAGAAAATTCAAATTATATTTGAAACATTAGGGAATACAAAAGTTCTAGTGGACTTTCAAATAATACAAATATTATATAAAAATGATGTAAACTAGTTCATTCTTATTCACAAGTAATACATTATTTTTCTTTTATTAAAAACTATTTCTTAAACTTTATTTCATATCTCTAGAAATAAATTGGAAAAATATATTTACATCCACATAGTACTAATATGATATAGAAGAATTTATTTGCAATTCTACATATAATTAAATAATTGTATAAATTCCTTACAAACCTTTTTTCAAATCTTCCTCCGAAACAAATGTATCCATAACGTCCTCGTTATCTTCAATTTTGATAGGATTATCATCGGTACCATTCTAAAATATATTATATTATTTGTATGTTTCTTTTTGATTTCATATAAAGAAAAAAAAGAAAGAAAAGAAAAAGAAAAAAGGATAGGAAAGAAGAAAAAAAATTTATAAAACTAATATACTTCTTCATTTCGTGCACTTCTAAACTTATGTATTTTATCATCTAATTTGGTCTTGACTTTTCTATTAATATATTTACTCAAATCGTTCCAAGTATCCTGATTGTATTCCTCAATACTGGTAATAAATTGAAAATCATCGCCATCATTTAATTTATTTTTCTTCTTATTCTCCTTCTTCCGAGGTTGAAACTACAATAATTTAACATTACAATATTTTGTTTTACTTATAATAATAGAATACTTCATGAGCGAAGAAAACTCACGTCATCCTCTTCATCGGAAGGTTCCGACAGATCTGGTACCTCTTCATCGTCTTCGATCGTTTTAATTAAATCGCTCATCCTTCAAAATCTATTATGTATTTAATTAAATAAATAAATAATATCAATAAGCACACGCGCCAAGTATTGTCATTTTTGAGAAAGGCTAGGTTACACACATTACATGCCTGATGTAACAAAATAACCACGTGTCGTTGAGGATTCGAATATTTTCGATTTACAGTGATAATCGAATGGAGCCTGCGGCAGCGAACTTCGATACTTCTGTACAGCGAATTTTTCATTCTGATAATTACTAAAACGAATAATTACATTATGAGGCGTTAGATCGCGACTGTGAAATCTAAATCTCAGCGAGATGAATGGCATAAAAATTGTGATGTAAAAGAATCTGTGTATTTGTATGCCTTTAACTTCGTAATTGTCGATTTTCGATTATAAGGGCACGGAATCAGCATGATATCGACGATATCTAAATAAATCGTTTGATAGCCAATTGCTTATGGCGGGAAAGTGTTTGCAAACATTTCATTTGCGGTAATTTGTGTACCAAGGATCAAGTGTGCCCATAATTTTTGCAATTAAGAATTGAATATTTTTTGAATCGGACTTGTTTGGAATATTTAAAATGGGAATTTTAGGTCTCTCAAAATTGATAGCAGACATTGCTCCACAATCTATTAAAGAATATGAATTGAAACATCTTTTTGGTAAATGTTAGACTAATAAGCACGATTAAACTAACATAATAAATATAATTTAATTTCAATGATTGTATTATTTTTTGTTTTGTTTTAGGTCGAAAGATAGCTATCGATGCCTCCATGTGTTTGTATCAGTTTTTAATAGCCGTACGATCGGACGGAGCTCAACTTACATCGGTAGATGGTGAAACGACAAGGCATGTCGATTAATTACTGTATGTTACCTCTTAACAATGAAATATTATAATAAATCTATATATTTACAGTCATCTAATGGGTATGTTTTATCGTACGATAAGACTTGTTGAAAATGGAATAAAGCCAGTGTATGTTTTTGACGGTAAGCCACCTAATTTAAAGGGTGGAGAATTAGCCAAGAGAGCAGAGAGAAGAGAGGAAGCCCAAAAACAATTACAAGCAGCCGAGGAGGCTGGTAATATATAATTTATTAGTATTTGGTGAATTAAAATTAAATTGTATCTAATTTGAGCCTTCTTTTCAAGGAAATATTGAAGAGATTGATAAATTTAATAGAAGATTGGTCAAAGTCACGCAGCAACATGCAATCGAAGTAAAAGAATTACTTGATTTAATGGGCATTCCTCACATGGATGTTGGTATTCTTTTATTAAATAAATTACACTTTACGTTATTATTAAACACATAAATAATGATACAGGCTCCTTGCGAAGCAGAAGCACAATGCGCGGCTTTAGTGAAGTCGGGGAAAGTATATGCTACAGCTACGGAAGATATGGATGCGCTTACTTTTGGATGCAATATTTTACTGCGCCATTTAACATTTAGCGAAGCTCGAAAAATGCCAATTCAAGAAATCCAATATGAAAAAGTATTGAGTGGCCTAGAGTTAAATAAAGAACAGGTCAATATTAATGTGTAACGTAGAACAAAACTGCAGTAATTCTACATAAATGCGCAATTATTCGTATTATCATTATGTATGCAAATATTTTCAGTTTATAGATCTTTGTATAATGTTAGGCTGCGATTATACACAAAGTATAAGGGGAGTGGGTCCAAAAAGAGCAATAGACTTGATAAAAAATTACAAATCTCTTGAAAAAATTGTTGATAATATTGATTCCAAAAAATTTTCAATCCCTGAAAACTGGAATTATAAAGAAGCGAGAGAATTATTCATCCAACCAGAAATAAAAAATCCAGATGACGTGGACGTGAGATATTTTACATTGTTAAATTTTGTAAAAAATTTAATTGAAATATTAAAATTTCTTATTGATATTTATTATAATTTTCATAGTTCAAATGGAATGATCCAGACGAAGAAGGTTTGGTAAAATATTTATGTGGAGATAAACAATTTAATGAAGAAAGGGTAAGAAATGGAGCTAAAAAATTAATGAAAGCTAAACACACTGGAACCCAAGGACGAATAGATTCATTCTTTAAAATAATACCAAATGTAAATTCAACTCCGGTGAAGAGAAAGGTTTGTAATAAGTATAAACAGATCGATAACAAAATTTTACTTTCGTTTAATTTTACTTTATTCTGTAAAAGCCTAAATTTTCTATCTTTTACTACCTTTAAAAATTTTCATTTCAATGTTTTCATCTCTTCTGTAATATTTATTGTTCTTATAACTATTCCCTTTTGATAATTAAAAATATTAATTATAATTAAATATATAAAAAAAAAAATATATAATATAATATAAAACAGTTTTTGTTAAAAATTTTATAGATAAAAAAGGGTATTACAGAGATTTAATATGAATATTAGTAGATGAATTATAAAATATGTTGTAAATAAAATATTTCTTTATTTTTATATTTTGATTTTTTAAATCACTCTATAAATCTGTATATTAATAATCTTACATATCTATTTTTATTTGAATATTAGGGAGATGATAAAAAAACACCAGCTAAAAAGGGAAAAACAACTGGTGGTGGAAGAGGACGAAAGCCCAAGTAATATACAAATTATGAATACTTAGGCTTTATAATACTGTATCACAGGTTGTTCTTGTAGATTATTTGTAACAATTATAGAATTTATATTATTTTATATTCAATATCAATGTAAAAATATACATATAATTCATATTTTTTATGATTAAGATATATCCTATAAGGGAAGATTTTTTTAATAATAAATTATTACGAAAATTAACCTTTTAAAAGGTGTTTTTTTTTGTTTTTCTTTTCTTTTCTTTTTAATTAACTATTAATACAGTATATTTAATTTAAAATCTAATTGTTTGAATAAAAAATTGTATATTACTATTAAAATCTTTAAAAAAAAATAATTTAAAAATAAATCGGTTTTATTTAAAATATTATCAAAGTTAAAATTGGAAACTTTTTTTTTTGTAATTACATTGCAACGAAATACATTAATAATATCTTCATTTGTTTTTAATATATTTTTCACACTATTCTTGTATGAATTTTTTAAAAAATATTGCATATAGGAATTTTTAATCATTATATACATTTTGTTACTTGTTTTTGTTAAATTCAGTACACCAATAATTATATAAACTGAGTACTATGACTATAATATAGAATATTTTCTGTACATTCTATTTTTGAAAATCTATGACAGAAATTTAACAACGGTACTACCAATTGCATTACTCTCAGCAACACGAGACAAAGCTACATCGATATGATGAGAAGCATAAACTTTATCTAAGATAGGTCGAAGATGATTATTTTCAACAAGTTTTTGTAATAATTCTAAATACGTGCTCTTTATTTTTGTCCCTTCCTTCCAGTGATATATATTAGCACCAAAAATATACTAAAACAAAATTTTTTAATTTATGCCAATAAATACTTATGAATTTCTAAGCTGATTTTAAAATTTAAATTAATCAAATGAGCCATATAATTTGTAATTGTATTGTTTCAATTATTTTTAATAAGTGCGCTAATTAATTACAACCTGTTATAATGATGATTATAAATTTTTACCTGAAGAATTTGACTTATTTTTATGCATCCTGCGAACAAAGTTCCACTTATATATCCAAATGAATCTGACATTAAGTTTTCTGGAGTTACTGATATGTAAGTTCCATTAGGTGATAAATAATTTTTCAAAATATTTTGATTTATAGTGCAAGTACCGCCGGTAAAGAAAATCGCGTCAAATCTAAAAAGATAAAAAAAAAAAAAAATCATCAAATAATTTTAAATTCTAGGCATTAATAAAGTGCAATTTGAATTAAATTCTTTTACTTATTTTGAAGCTTCAGATCCTTATAAATTTTATATTCATCGAATTCAATAATTTCATCCACACCTAATGTTTTTATAATGAACGCAGCTTGCGATTTGCAGATTGTAACTACATATCCATTCGAATGTTTAATCAATTGTATTAAAATGCATCCAATAGATGTACTCCCATCGAAAACCAATATTCTAATAATGAAAATAAATCCAAACGAATAGTATTATAAGTTTATGAAAGTATTCTAGTGTTAAATTAGCTTTTAATGCCATATTTTTAATTAGATATTTCCAATTAGATTTAGAGTGAAATAATTATAAAATCATACGCATTAAATATTTATTACAGAAAGTTATTTTAATACCTTTTCCCTTCAGCGCTGTCATCTTTAATAATGTTACTATTAACTAAAGCGTCCCAGGCTAAACAGCCGCTATAAGGTAAAGTGGCAGAATCTTCGAAAGATAAATTTCTTGGCATCTTAGCAACTTGAGTTTCTGGCACTACAATATATTCTGCCATTGTTCCAGTAGACCATGATGGAACTGCTACAAATACTTTATCACCAATGTTAAAGTTAATAATATGGCAGCCAATATCAACGACAACTCCGGCACAATCTCGTCCTAAGATTACTGGCAAGCTTTTATATTTCTGTAATTCATGTATTGAATAACTTTTAAAACGGTTGAATTTAATATTCACATTTTTGTGTGTACTTTGAATTTCGTTTAAATTTATTATTGCACCTTTTGTCGGCGATCTTTTAAAAATTTACAATCTAAAAAAAAACTTACACCTGTATTTAATAATCTTCTGTATGCTTTAGAATAACCAGAACATATTTTTACATCTACTTCATGAATCGATGCTGCTTTAACTAGAATTAAAAGTTCGTTAGATTTTCGTATTATGGGCATTTCTGCATCCTCAATCATTAAAGCCCCCTATAAAATTATTAGTCATTATATGTATTATATGTGCGTGTGCGTGTGCATGTGTGTATGATAAAAATTAATATATTAAGTGTAAGTGCAATATAATATTTACTTGAATACCAAAATAATATTGACAAACGATTGCTTTTATGTGATGCAAATGATGAGAAGTGAACCAATTTAGTGCTAGTGAATATCCTATTATAGTTCCAGTAATTAATCCAATAGAGAAATAAATAAATTCTTTCTTTGAAACTAAAAATTACGTAAACAAATATATATCTATATATATATATATATATATATATGAACATATTAAATAAAATTTTTCAAATATTTAATTTACCATCCAATAGAATTATATTTATGAAATATCGATAAATATGTCTTGGATTAAAATTAATAGATGAAAGATGATGTTTCATTGTGTGGATTCGGTTGTGAAACCACATAAGAATTTGGTTAAATGATTCTTTAAACTCTTGAATGTTAAAACCGTCTCTTACATCTTGTAAATATTGTTGACCTATGGACAACCATATATTCAATAGTTGTTGACCTTCTGACAACCATTTACTTAATAGTCGTTGACCTCCTGACGAACATCTACTTAATAATTGTTTACCATGTTCATTTACAACAGACACTCGAATCTATAAAAGAAATGTTTAATTTTTATAAAAATTGTAAAAAATAATAATTTTTAATATACACATTTTGAGCCAAATAAAGATATTTATTTTTATTGAATAATTTGCTTATAGACTTATTCATAAGTATCAAAATAATTATTTTGCTGCATTGATTTAATATATTTATCTTGTATCTTATAACAAACAAAACAGTTATAATATTAACCTGTAATAATTCGATCTGATTAGATAAACGAAACAAAATTTCATCCATAGCTAAAATTGTTTCATAATCTTCTAAAGTTCGACTGGTTTTCCGTTCGTTCGTCGGTAAAATTAATAAGATAATAGATAAAAAAAATCAAAACAATAAGCCTCGTTTTTACATAAAGCACCAGTCATTAAAATATTCATCCAACAGGCAAAAACTGCAGAAACATGTGTTATAAATAACCATTGGAGGCACGTACTAGATTGAAAATAGAATCCACAGCTTTTTTCGTGTGCGAAATTTCGAAAATGAAACTTGCATTTTTAGCAGATATCACTGTTATGAAACTTACGGAACAGTGCATGGACCTGTAGCTTAATTTGAATAAGAAATTCAATAGAACAGAGAGTTAGGCAACATACGCGGCCAAAAGGGAATAAAAAAATAATGACTCTTCGCTCTTAAATTCATCGGTTTCAATTAAACATAGACAATGTTAATTCACCGGAATTCTCCCCACCCCCAGCCCCCAATCTCCAAAAAGCCTACATTTATCTGTAATAATTGATTAAAATTGTTAAATAATTAAGTATCGACTTTTACGATGATATAATCAGTCACATGTACTGTATTATTGTTTTAATGATCACGTGGTTGAACGTCACGTGATAAAACATGTGATACCCGCCACTGGGAAATATTTTAAAAAACTTGAATTTAGAGGTTAGCCATTTTGTTAGTGAATTCTAAATTCGTAACCATAGTAACGATGGCCGTGTTGAGGCGTTGAAGTTGTACAGTGTGATGTCCTATTTATTATTATTTTTGTTTTTTTTCTCGATGAAATACTGTATATTAATTGTTTTAATTAACTAAATAGCATTGTAAATATGTTAAAATTTATAGTTTTTTATTTTTTCGCTATTATGATTGATGATGTACTTTGCATCACGGAAGATTTTGACATAAGCGGATATATTGCTTATTGTCCATGCATGGGTAGGTAATGCAAATAAATATTTCATTTCATTATGATTTTAATAAAAATAATTATTCCTAAGGTCGCTTTGGAAATCAGGCAGATCATTTTTTAGGTGCATTGGGATTTGCAAAAGCTCTAAATCGTACATTGATATTACCTCCGTGGGTCGAATACAGAACGGGAGAAACTAAATCGGTAACATTAAATTACATTTGCTCATATATTTAATCCTTTGTCTATATTCCTATGTAAGATGCTTGTACATGCTCATGTTTACAAGCTTGTGCATATACATGACATTTATTATAAATACTTTTTAGGTTCGCGTAAAATCATTTTGCCGAGGTTATTTATATTGTTAGAATTTTTTTTAAAAAGTACTATTTTATAAAATGAAAATTTAAAATTTCATACCTAATTTATTTAATATTTTGTCTAATCGTGTCTAATTATACATAAAATTGTGACATAAATTAAATAATTTACAAAGTATATTATGAATATATGCAAGTATTTATATTTTAATATTTGTTTTTACGATAAAGCTTTATGTTAGATTTCAACTTATTGGTAAAACTCAACTAAGAATTTAATAATTTATTATAAGAAACATTTTGCTCTTTTCTGTAATTAAAAATCATTTTATATAAATTGAAATTCTATTATTTCATAGATTCAAGTTCCATTCGATAAGTACTTTAATGTATCTCAAGTAGCAAATTGCCATAGAGTAATTCTAATGGAAGATTTTATGAAGAAAGTAGCACCAATCCACTGGCCGCCATCGGATAGAATTTGTAATTACATCGCATTATTATTTATTTTCTTTTTCACAAATTATCCAAATATCTATTCATTATAACAGTAATATATGTTTTCTAGCATTTTGTTATTCAGCTCGTGGAAAAACTGATTCCTGCAATGCTAAAGATGGCAATCCATTTGGTCCATTTTGGGATACATTCGATATAGATTTTGTAGATTCTGAATTTTATGGACCACTGCATTACGATGTTCATCACACGGATATGGCATTTCAATGGCGACAAAAATATACATCTGCAAAATGGCTAGTGCTAGCATTTACCGGAGCACCAGCCAGCTTTCCAGTTCAATTAGAGAATAAAATACTTCAAAAATGTTTGATTTGGAACAATGATATTATCAATGAAGCAAAATCAATTATTAAAGAAACTCTTCCGCCTGGAGCATTCATTGGAATACATTTACGAAATGGAGTGGATTGGGTAAATGTGACAACATTTTGTTGTTTGCATTTAAATAATTATTTTAAATAAAATATCATCTATTATAGGTAAGAGCGTGCGAACATGTTTTAAGATCCCCAAATTTGTTTGCTGCGCCACAATGTTTAGGATATAGAAACGAAAGGGGTAAAGCGACACAAGCAATGTGCTTACCTTCTTTAGACTTAATAACTCGCCATTTAAAACGCGTTATTAGAAATGGGAGAAATATCAAGTCTGTATTTGTTGCTTCTGACAACAATTACATGATTTCCGAGCTAACCAAAGCCTTAGAACGAATGAACGTAAGCATTTTATTTATTAGAAACTAAAAGTGATTTTAGATAAGTGATTAAGTAATGAATAGTATATGTGTTTTGGTAGGTCAAAGTGTTCAAACAAAAAGGAAAAATTTCCCCACATTTAGATTTAGCAATTCTTGGCAGAGCCAATTATTTTATTGGAATCTTGCATGTCTCCCTTCTCAGCTTTTGTCGCACGGGAAAGAGAAGTTAAAGGATATCCGATATATTTTTGGGGTTTTCCACCAGAAAGGACTTCATCATCTATAACACACGAAGAATTGTAATATAATTTGAATAATTATATAAATATGTGATATTAAGTACTTTTACATCATTTTTATACTTAAAACTGCTTATAATTTAAAACTATTTTCTATTTGCATAAAATTATGTAATATTTATATTAATTAAATACATATGTTAGAAATAACTTGAAAATGTGATATATATTAAATAATGATGATTGTACGTATGAAATACAAAAATATTTTGTAAGCATTATACACAAAATTTATTAAAATTGTTTTCATATAAAAGATGCACGAGATTTTTAGTTAATAATGTAAAAAAAAAACATTCAATTTAAATCATATTTATTATTTTATTATACATTGACATTTTTTAGCATACGTGAGAAATTCATTGGACACAGGTCATAAGTAATTAATGTTTATAATTTTTATAATTATTATAACTATAGTTTTATTATTTTATATATTGTAATAATTTCGTAAATTTATTATCATTACGAAGTCTTTAGTAACTTTAAATTTTTTTTTACTGAAATATTTATATAAATAATAATGCGATTTTTATAGTTAATATATATATATATATATATATATATATATATATATATATATATATATATAACTGTATTGAACTTTTCATTAGTTTATGGCATTATTATTGTTAAACATTTTTAAATGATAATCATTTAGAAAGTACATTTTATATAATTTGAGAATTTCATCGCTAAATTCCAAATGTTTCAACATTAAAGTGAATTACAAGTGTATTAAAGCACGCGCTCTTAATTAATTATTATAACGATTGAATTTTATTTATATATAAATCGATATATCGATACTTTGGAATATAATATGGAAAAATTATTGTACATGATAAAATGATTGCATTCGTTTAGAAATAAAAATTTATAAAAACATTATCCCATATATCAAAACAAAATTATTAAATTTTCTTTACACACTTTTATCTATGTATTAAGCTTTATTTGCGAGTAATTTCTTTAATGAAAACATTTAAAGACATTAAAGTTCACTATACCAGCGTTGATACTTCAATTACAACTAAACTATTGAATGTGAGCAGTGCAGAGCAAGCAATTGATATAATCTAAGTGAATTAGTCCTGATAAAACAATCTCGTTTCAAAAGTCATATTCCGTTTGAAATATAACGTTTAAATTTAAATATAGCGTCGTCTATTTACTATATTAAAAATTTTTAAATAGAATGACTTAACATTATACGATAAGTTTAATAATTTTTAACGCTCAACTTTTACATTCAATAATTGAGGGTTTATTTTGAAAACAAAAAAAATTGGAGTATTTAGTTCATAAGATCTGGTTATAAAATGCGTTGAACATTCATAATTTTAAAAAGTTAAATATGCTGCCGAAAATTACAGACAAAATTACAGAAGATACAATTTTTTATTTTACTTTATTTTTTTTATTTAAAAATTTTTTTTTCAACATAGTCATACTGTTTAACACTTGTCATAATAAAAATTTTAAAAAATTTTAAAGTATTGTAACAACATAATTAATTACAAATATATTTCTTCAATTTTCTGAAAATTGTTGCCTTACTTTCTATGAATTTTGAATAGAATAGGATCTGTTAACCTTATCTATTAATCTATTAATCTTGATTTTTTTTTTCGAAATTTGGCTTGATTTTAAATACGATATTGGTTTTTGAAAAATGATTACAAATTTTCATGATAAAATTATGTAATTAAATATTTGTATCGACATACAATTAATAACGAAATAAATTTTTAAAGATTTATAACGAAAAAGTTAGAAAAATAGTCTTTACCTAGAATTTATGCAAAATATGTAGTATTTTGTATTTATCGCGCTTTGTATCAAAATTTTTTATTAACGCATATCGGCTAAAATAATTTGTGTTTAATTGTTACATAACGACAATTATTAAAAAATTAATATGTATACATTTATTTATTTACTTGTACGAGTCTATACACATAGGCACTTTCAAGCAATAAATTTTGATGTATTATTGTTCGTAATAATTTATGAAATTCTTTCTATTTCTCAACGAAATTATTATTATTATCTTTTCAACTTAAATTGATTTTAAAACAGTTAAATATCGATTATCAATAGAATTATTTAATAAATATCGATAATAGTGACAGTGATTGTGTCGCTATAAAAGCGAGTTACTTTTCGGGAGTTGTATAATAATTTTACTTTGTATGTACTTTGTCATTATAATTATGTATGAAATAGTTGAATTCGTATCCGATTCTATTGTCTATTACATTAAAGTTTCATTGTTTATGAAAATATCGTAAAAAATATTTTCAATTTTGTCTCTATACTTTTCGCAAGATTGGAAAAAACAGTCTAAACAAATTATTTTATCAAAAATTAATTTACACATATAATATAAAATTTAATTTTTTATCAATCTAAATTTTGTAATTACATCACATACAGTAACAAATTGAAATATTTCTTTAATTCTAAAGATAGTACGGCAGTAATTTTTGTCAAGATAATGACAATTGGTGAAAGATTTTATCAAAGTTTCAAACTTAATATCAGAATGATTGCAGTTTTCTATTATTAAACTTCTCTTCATTTGATTTACTTTTTTTTTTTGTTAACAGTTGGTTCCCGTTTAACGAAGATTTGTATCAATTATTTATCGGCCTTTACTCGCTTCCTCTTTTATTTATTTATATGATAAGCTTTATCATAAGCTCTTAAAGTAATTTATTAAGAAAACTTTCTCCTTGTCTATTCCAGTTTTATTATAGGACTTTACCTCGTCGCAGTTCGCCAATAAGGTGAAAGCTATTTGAGTTTCTTTTCGCAGGAAACGTCGATTCTATCACGAAGTCCAGTCTCTTTGCTAATCTTTCGCACAGAGGACACTGAGAGTGTCTTTGTACATTATATTTGTCATATTTTTCGTCTTATTCATCAAACTCGACAACTATTATGACTTGCGGTATTGAGATAAAGCATTCAAGTATTGCCGATGTTATTATTAAACACCGAATTTTCACTCGCTAAATCTTTTCTGCATTAAAGTATGTTATGCATAAACACATATTTTCGCACTTAGGCTTGCAAAATATAATCATGTAATCGAAAAAATAATAGTTAAGCAAGTTTGTAATTGAACTTATTAAATTGTACATCCAAAACTTTATTAATTTTAGATGATATGAGAATCATAGACATCTGAAAGCTAATTTGCCATTCAAATACAGAGTACTCGTAATACATGTATGTATATCAATTGAAAAATACTGAACTTCATGCTTTCTGAAAGAGAGAGAGAGAGAGAGAGAGAGAGAGAGAGAGAGAGAGAGTAATATAAAATTACTATATAAATCATTAAAACTTACTTTTTTCTTTTATTTACACAAAATAACCAATATTTTACATTACAAAGAATCATACTATTCCAGTTGATAGATACACCGAGAAACTAATATATATATATATATATATATATATATATATATTCAATAAATAATCCAACAATGAAAGAAATAGTGCAAGCATATATTTAATTAAATATATAATAGGCAATATAATATAAATAAGCAAATAATAAAATATGCAAGAAATAATTAATTACATATTGAATTAATTGATAATTGCGATTCATAGTTGAGCTATATATTTTTTGCTGATTCTAATATTGTTTTACAATAAAAATTGTGATTTTACATTTATTCGATAGTCGGTAGAATTTATCTAGTTGCTACTTAAAAATCTAAGTTCTCAACTAATCAATAGGTCAGATGAATGTGAGTTAGAAAAATGTAAATAAATAAAAGATATCACTTGCATTCGTAATGGTGTTGCGCATATAATTAACATCAAGCAGAAATATAGAATTTTTTAAAATATTGGTTTAAGTGCATGATTTCTGTATTTATAAATTTCATTTATAAAGAAATATTATCTCCGTATTTGTTAATGTACTTTAACAAATATCTCATTTAATATGCATATTAAATTACTATAAGAATCGATATAAATGAACTAATAATTCGTTCGGGTTTATGAAATATCTAAAATTTGCGAATTTGAAAGTTTATTTTAGAAAATCTTTTCACCGACATTTTAACAATGTAAAACTTACTTAGAAATTTTATTTCTTTAACTTCTATTCGAATAGAATTATAGTTTTGTTTATTTCCCCATTGTCATTACGTTAAGCTTTTGTTTATTAAATAATTTGTAAAGAATTTATTATAATTTATTAATTGGCAATAATTGCACAATAATTAAATTTTATATAAAGTCACATTATAACGAGATAGCAAATTCCACTCAATTTTATATGGAGATTAAAATAAAACTGAAATTAACTTAAAAGTTGATTTTCATAATACTAATTACTATAAATAATTTAAAATATTTATCAAAATAATTCATAAACTACGCTATAAAATGAAATTATGATTTATTGTTTCAATAATACAAACAAAATATATTTTGCTCAGTAAACATTAGAAATTTGCCGAGAAGCGTATTCATTTAACTTTAGAACATACAGTCATTTCTATGTTTCATTTATATTTAATAAAAATGAATATTGTAGGTCTAAATACAAATTTTGTCAATGTGTTTGTAACTAATAAAATAAAACTTACAATTATATTATATCTCGAATAACATAATTAAGTATCCGACATTATTTTTTAATTAGTAGCATATCGTATGCTATGACGTAAGTAGCTGCAAATTATTTATTATTCGTACATTTGACACAAAAGATTTCAGGGACTTTTAGCATCATTGCCTTCTAAAGTTGAAAATGGTTAGAAGAAAACAACAATATAAATAATTATAAAATCGCAGCTTTATTAATAATTCAAGTTTTCTTACATTTAAAAGCACAATTCTGGAAGAACAATAAATAATCATACAATTAATATAATTAATATATGCTGTTTAAAACAAAATAGGCTTGTGTAGAAATTTAATATATTTCATAAAACGGTATGTTAACTGTTTCGACAAACATAACATGTTTTTTATTATTATTATCATGCTACCAAACCTTCTCCATATAAACAATAATATTATTATTAACAATTTTTTAAATATTTTATATAGTATACTTAATATAATTTCAATATTTTTAATTTTAATATGTTTAATTAATATAAGTACAATAAAATACAATAATATAAACATTTCTCTATGTATATAAAATTCTGTTCATAAAATTTATCAGTATTTTCATACATTTACAAATGTATGTGTAATTCCATTTTTCAAAAAGTATAAAATCTGATCTCAGAAACATTCTTGATTTTGTATTAAAAATAATATTTATAATATTGTAATCGTATAATTATTTTCCAATATGTACAAACTATACACACACGCGCGCGCACATAGTTTTAAATATAAAGATTTAACAATATCTAATTCATATTGTTTATTACATTTTTATACACATACGATCACTCTAGATCGTTAATAATTACTATGTAATAAAATAGTATAAATTAATATAAATAAATTAATTAAATTAAATAATTAAAAATAATTAAGAAATTAATTAATTAAAATAAATAAATTAATATAAAATAGTAATATTAATATTAATATTATTTTTTGCAGTAATACTAACAAAAAAAGTTTTCAATAAATTAATAGATAAATAAATAAATAAATAAATAAATAAATAAATAAATAAATACATAGGTGAAATAGATTTTATAAAATATTTTATACAATAAAGCGTGCCATAATCTTTTTATTCGGCTATTTTCAATATGTTAAAAATATATCGCATACCTATAAAACTTTTGATCAGCGCTTCAATATGTATATATTGATTTATAGTTTTTATCGATTTTAAATAAATATGTTTGTCGGTTAGCGATGGAAGCTGACAATCCTTAAAGAAAAAAAATCCTTAACATCAAGTGAGAATCGAGCTTTGATTTTTGCACCCTAAGGTAAGTGGACGCCTAAAGCTATTTTTCGCAAATGTATAGCTTTCACTGATGATGCTTGGTCTGGATCAACGATGTAGCCATCCCCCCCCCCTCCTTCCCCTCACCACGCCCGCTGAGCCACGACGAATGTATAAAATTATTTTTTTAAGTTTAATTAACGGACTGCATCGTATCGAGGATTAAACCAACTCTTTATCAGGTATATAATAAGTCTTGAGAGGTCTCGACTGATTGCATCGATGTGCTTGGAGATTCTTTTCTATTCTATCATTATCTTACTCTTTATTACTGGAGTGATCATTTCATTTCATCATCTTATTCCTATACTAATGTAAAATAATAACTTGTACGAGTATATTTCGCAAGTATCTTTAAAATATCGTGGGCTTGCTTTTTTATTATACTCTTGGACTCGTGAAACGCCGTTAAAAACCTGCGTTTCACGTCACACTTTCTTTACCTAATTAGATAGTTTCTAAAAAAATTAGAGAAAGTTGAAAAATTATTTTTGGTCTACGGCAAAAACAAATATAATTGACAATAAAGTTAAGGTTTGTTTAAGTAATAACGAAGAAGAAAAAACAATATATATATATATGCATATATACACATACGCGCGCATAAATGCATGCATATACGCATATATGCCCAGGCATATGCACTACACGTGCACGGGTAAGAATAAAATTATGGTTAGATGGCGCTGGACATAGTGAATATTACTTTCTACTAGTTTATACAAATTTGCCAATTATTTATCATAACTTATTGTTAAGTCAACAATTTATTTAGCATCGTCCGTGCTTGAAATTAAATAACGATGCAAGATGTAAGAGTATATTTGCCAAAGAATTGAACAACGTATAATATAAATCGTTTCGACAAATCAAACGCAGCATATTAATTAAAATTATGTTAATTTACTTATAAAATCATCGATTAATTATGTTTGAATGTGTAAACAAACCATATAGTATCTAAGCGACACATTTGGCAAAAAGCGAATGTTTTCTTTAATTGTCATTAAAAATATTCAAGGATTAATGAATAGTGACAATGCTCTTTAATCGCTACATAAGTATAATGGAGCAATTATTTATGTAATTATATCATTATAACTTGTTAGACGATAATTGTAGAAAATTTAGTATCGTTAATACACGTTTAGTCATTTAATTCATTTTGTAAATCTTGTACGTTACGCGCGCATATCTAAATGTTTGATTACACTTAACCAAATTACATTGTACTACAGGAAGAAATAGTTTTTTCGCGCTGAAATCCGTGAAATGCGTATAATGCGATATCCCCAATATATATATATATATATATATATATATATATATATATATTCATTTATTTGGTTCCCATGTATACTTACGTATACACCGTTAATTATCCATCGGGCTTTTCTTATTATAAGTCGTTCGAAGAAAATTGCTGCCATCAGGCTTCAAAGTAGTGACGAAATTGTAACGAAATTCCTTAAATGTAACTAGAGAATATGAAAAATTTACCTGGACAACTCATCGCGGCCACACTCGAGCGAGCGACTGGCGTTGGGTCGTCGCGCGAATCGCGGCAGTAGAAGTGATATTAAAAAAAAAAAAAAAAAAAAGAAAGAAAGAAAGAAAAAAAAAAGATAAAAAAATGGCGATATTGAGAAAAGAATTTGAGGCGCGCGAGTGTCCCGGGTCCCGAATTGGAGATGCGATGGGCGTCGCGATGGTGTGAAGATCTGAAAGCGCGGCGTCGAGAGACAATCGGTGGTGGTGGTGGTGGTGATGGTGGTGGTGGTGTGGTAGCGGTGCCGTGATAAGAAAGCGAGGAGAGAGCGGGAAGCAAAAAGAAAAGAGATAATCTGTGCTTGAGATAGATATAGATAGAGAGAGAGAGAGAGAGAGAGAGAGAGAGAGAGAGGGAGGGAGAAAGAGAGAGGGAGAGCGAGCGTGTTATCAACCTCGCCAACGCGGGGATTCACGAGCGCTTTCAATCGCAATTCGACTCCCCACCGCGCAGTGCCGTACTTTCTCTCTTCCGCCGGCCGTCCTATTTACTCGCGTACATTTTCTCGCCGTGTCCATCGTACGCGCATCCTTGACTCTTTTTCTTCTCCACCTCCGCCACCCTGTTTTTCTTCCTTTTTCCTTCTTCTACATCTTCTTCTACTACAACTACAACTACAACAACAACAACTATTCCTCTTACCGAGTCTTCGTGCGCTTACGTACGCAGGGCAGAAACTCCGAGCTCGCGAGCCACTGCTTCTTGTACGTGTGCGCAAGGTGCGACGGAGGTCCCTGTTCCTCCTTCTCCTCCTCCTCCTCCTCCTCCTCCTTCTCGTCCCCCCTCCCCCCCACCCCAACCGACCCCGTGACTGGTATGCGCAACTACTTGGCTCCGGCCCTTGAATCACCCAACGTCCGTGAATCCGCCCTTCCCCTCCACCCCAGTCTTCCTCGTGTGCGTCGACGTCAACGACGGCCCAGTCTGTCCGCGCGCTCGCGTGCCAACCTCCTGCGCTGCTTCCTACCGGAGCGCCTCGACTCCGCGTCTCTTCCTCCCTCCTCCCCTACACTCGGCCCAGTCGTGCCAGTCGTCGTAACTTGGACATCCGTCGACAGGCAGAAGGTACGCGCAGGGCCGCTCCGCCAAAGGCCACGAGAGAGGTGCAATTTTTAACGCGCACATACGCACGCAGGCACGCAGTCGGACAGTCGGACAGTCGGACAGGCAAACAGACGAACAGTCTCAAGCGCCCATACGCATCGTCGAAACGCAGCAAGCAGGCATAAAGAGAGATAGACGGACGGGCAGACTGGGTGATAGACGTCGGAAATGGCCCGAGACTACGATCATTTGTTCAAGCTCCTCATCATCGGCGACAGTGGTAAGTGATGGGCGAGTTTAACGAGCCTCTCCTACCAATTACGCCTCCTCCTCCTCCTCCCCCCCCCTCCATATACAACATCCGATCCACCCACTGCAAACACACTTTTTCTCTTTCTCGGTTTTGTTCGTTGTCGTCCGTTGTTGCGCGTAAGAGCGGAAGCCAAAGTGAGTTAGTTGGAGAGTGTTCGGTGCTAGTGAAAACAGCCGCATTGGCTTTTATTTAGCGTTTGCCGTTGCTCTTTGTAATAAGCTTCCGCGACGTTTTAACGCAATTTTTAGCGTACGACTACGACTACGACTACGACGAGTCATTTGGTGCTCGTGAAATTGTATTTTATGCTCAATAGTTTTACGGGAGTCTGGATTGGTGGTAATGAAATTAATAATGTGAACAATTGAATGCTGATTTCGGCCGTCGACTCTTATCTCCAGATCCTTTTTTCTCTTTTACAAAGCCGGACTATTTATAATATTGTTGTATAGTTGTTAAGTGTCTGATAAGTGGCCAAAGATTTGCTTGCGATAAGATTTTTAGAGCATTAATCATGCGTTATAATTAATTAAAATTCTCTAGTTGTTTGGCTCGTGATTAATGTTTAGTTAGCAGAGTCAGGAATTTTAAAACTTACAAACATTATGTGCTTTATTAATTTACAATTGTAGGGATAATTTTTTCTAAAAATTAAAAAGTGACGAGTGGTACAGAAGTTTAAAAAATTATATTAAATATTCTCATAAAAAAAAGCTTATGAAACAAATAATTCCAATAATAAGTCGTATCGATATAACTCTAGTAGCTTGTGTTTTTGAAAAGTAATTGCACTTTAGCTTTCTTGTTCCTATTTTATGTATAAAAAGTCAAGCGTTATAAAGGATAAAAATGATAGACCATGTTAAGTTTGTGTTAATTGACATTCGAAAGTCTTGGCTTTGTTGCCAAATAATTTGCTGTATAACATGCCTTTGTAACTGAAGAAATTTGATAGTTTTAGCAAATTTATCGATGATAGCATATAATATTGATAATTGATCGATATTGACCTTACAAAGAGTTCAAAATTTTGTAATACGATCGAGGATACAATTTCATAAATTTTCATTATCAAAAATAATATAGTTTCGTCGAAAATGACAATATTATAAATCATTTTTCTCTTTTAAATAAACATCTACCGTAAAGGCTATTCACACTCCAATTAATTTTAATTTTAATTTCTTGAAAGGTTATTCAATTTGTGCGGGTAATTAAATTGGACTTGTGCATTTTCTTTCAGATTTTTAAACTTTTTACTCAAATTTCTATCATCTATCAAGAGATCAAAAGTAATTTTAAAAAATTTATAAGATAATATCACTAGAAATTATATGTGCATATTTTAGTCTTTCTATACTTACTTATAAAGAAGAACTTTAAACTTTAAATTACTTGTATAATTTTGAAGTGATTTCTTAAATAACTATATTATCTAATATTAAGTGAATTATGAGAAAATTTGTCGTAACATTTGATGAATGTTTTAATTTAAATTTAATATTTATTTATTAGAAATATGAGTAAACAATGAGATTGAATTGGGACACTACTAAATTTAGTTGTATTTTATCCAAAACGATGTTCTTACTTAACGAAGGAATCTTATTTTGAAAATATTGCTAAATATTGTGCATTATAAATTTAATAATAAACATAAAATGATAATAAATATATTAATATTACAATTAGATAATAATAATCAATTTAAAATACTTGCACACACACACACACACACGCATATACATATATATATATATATATATATATATATATATACATATATATATACATATATATAAATGTATTTCTTTTTTTTTTTTTCATCAAGGTGTTGGAAAGAGTTCTCTGCTGCTACGATTTGCAGATAATACGTTCAATGGCAATTATATAACTACGATAGGAGTGGATTTTAAAATTCGCACGGTGGATGTAGACGGAGAAAGAGTGAAATTGCAGATCTGGGACACCGCCGGACAGGAGCGATTTCGGACAATAACTTCCACTTATTACAGAGGAACGCACGGTGTTATAGTTGTTTATGATGTAACGAGTGGAGATTCCTTTGCAAATGTCAAGAGATGGCTACACGAAATTGAACACAATTGTGACGTTGTAGTCAATAGGATTTTAGTAGGGAATAAAAATGATTCGCCAAATCAAAAAGTGGTGTTAACGGAAGATGCCCAACGATTTGCCAATCAGATGGGAATTAAATTATTTGAAACTTCCGCTAAAGACAATACCAATGTTGAGGAAGTAAGTGCAATATGTTAATTTAATTCATCGTAGAGATAATGTTTTATTCTATAAGTCTATCTTAAATTACAAAGTCCTTACACGCTTTTAATTTATAATTAATGCTGAAAATCTATTCGACCTATTATAGTAAATATTTTGAATTACAAGACAATAAATTACAATTAATATTTTTTCAATCAGAGCGAATGCATTTTGTAGATGTTTTATATTAATCGAGTGAAAGTATTCGCTGTATCTTAAATTGGTAGTTTTAAATCTACAACAATGACTTAAAGCCAATGAAGAATTGTATTTTCAAAATATTTGTTAAATATTGTACTATGTAGACTCGATACTGTATCGATGAGTCTAAGAAGATTTTTCAAACACATGCTTATGCGAACGTGTCGTTGAGTGTAAGATTCTGTTATAATAGAAAGTCATTCGTTGATTTTGAAGTGTTGATTTATTTATTTTTCAGATGTTCACTGCAATAACGAGAGAAGTTTTACGTACGAAAAAGGAGAGTAAAGAGAGACAAGCGATAAAGACCAATGAAACAGTAAATCTAAGGAAAAGCACGAAACAGCATAGGAAAAAATGTTGCTAGCAATTTCATTGCATGCTAGATAGATTCTAAAAATAATCTTGTTTTTGTATAACAGTCAAGCAGAATAAGACAGAGAGCGCGTGTTATTAATGGAGTGGACATGAAATGCCATAGATTCCTCGACGTTACCAAGGCAACATCGTGAATTACCAATGATGCATTTCTTACTCACGTTACTAGTTTTTATGTACCTTTATGCCTAAAGGTAAATGTGTGACGATGGCACAGATTTTTGGAGAATAATAAGATGTTGTACCAAAGTCCATTAATGAGATATCAGCTTTCGATAGGATATTACCATTCGTAAGGAAATTGGTTGTTAAGTGTTTACAAATATTCAAATGAACGAGGTGGGTGGGTGGGGTGGAGGAAGGAAGAAGAAAAATAAATAAATAGTAAAAGACTTGCCTAAATGTTTGGAGACCTATACGAAATTGAAATTTATTGACATTTGACAAGATGCGCTAGATGTAATTTATATTAAGTTGAGCTATTTGTAAAATGTTGCAAAGTGTTTTTAAATAAACAAAACTGAGATTTTCTATAAAATGTACTACACATAGACTTCTTCTCACAACGATTGATCAATTGTAATTAATGTCGCGCAAATTTTTATTTATCATATGGTATTATCATCAAGCTTATTCCACAGCCACTTAATATAATACCAATATTAGTCAGCAGATATTGTGTGTGTATATATATGTATATATATATGTATATATATATATATATATATATACAAACGCACATAAACATTTTACAAATAGGGTGCTATTTATATTATCCGGAGGTCCAAATAGATATTAAAAGTACTTTTTATCAAGTTTTTTTATCAATTCTTGAGATCCACTCAAATGTTTTTGCAATCCTTATGAAAAATCAAAAGGATGATTATGGTATTTTTTGTATAACGGTAATTTATGGTAAAGATGCTTCTTTATGCACTGTAACTCGTCTATAACCACGTCTGCGTGCATACGCTCCAAACTTCTAGAGGGAAAAAAAAGGATTTCAAAAGTTTTAAAAAATTATCAAAATAATAAGGTAGAAAGTACTTGTGAAATTTGTAAACGAATTACGAGTATACGTGTAGTGTTCGATAGCAGAATTGTAAGAATCGTTGTCTCGGTCCTTGAATGCGGCAGGAGACAGGCAGACCAAGTCGTATATACGTAGGCCGTGTCCAACCATGACAGAAGCTGTCTGTGTTAATCTGTGATAATAGTTAAATTGCGTCTTCATTGTAATAAATGCGACTCGCGTAAGCTGTATATGAGCATTGAGGAGAGTTCGCGATTAAGGACTTTGGGGGAAGAAAGTCTTTTGAGAATTCCCGATGGAACTATTTCCGAGTGGTAAATACTTCATTGAATTCTGGACTGAAGACGATAAATATTAAATTGTTTTTAATTCGACTTTTGTTAAGGCTTATGAAATTTAACTATTCTTAAATCAAATGAATATCGTTGATCTATCATTCTTTAATGATCTATTAATTATGTAATATCTATTGTAATTAACCTTAGTTATTTATTCTAATTAAAATGACATAGTTATAAATCAAATTCAATGAATTATTATTTGTTTTATTTGAACGAAATTAGGTTTTTATTTTATTTTATTTTTATTTTGTATCAATAAGAATTAGCTTTAATAAACTATTTTAAATGATTTTCCATAATTGTGAATGATAAAAGATTGTTCAATTAATAACAAAACTTAATTCATTAAATTACTTTTAAATTTAATTTGCTAATAAAGCAATTTGTTACAACAATATGAATTTATAAATGTAGAAAATTTAATTACTACATATTGTTTATGGTACATACATTATAAGTGATTCTTTATAAACTTAATTTATTTTATGTGCCTCTGTGTGTGTGTATGTGTGTGTATGCGCGCGTGTGTCCATATACATACACCCTTGCAAACACACACACACACACACACACACATATATATAAATATATATTTTTTTTTTTAAATAAATTTAACTATTTTAATTATATATAGTTACAATTACTATCTTAATAATTGCAGTAAATATATTAGTACCAATGAACGATGAAAAGAATTATTACTTTCAGTAAGTTTACTTACTTATTTTCAATGAAATATTCTTATTGGGAATTTCACATTAAACAATAAATACTCAAAGATGTTAAACTAATTATTCAAACAGAACATAATGTGAAATTTAAATTAAAAAATTTGTCAGTGATGTTATTTCAATTCACAACTCTCATATGTTGTATTCAATTTTTTATATATGCATATTATAACATGGTGTATTTGTTTATAATATTCGTAGAAATATATATATATATATTATTTATATATATTTATTTATATATATATATATATGAGTGAGTGAGTGAGTGAGTGAGTGGGTGGGTGGGTGTGGGTGTGTGTGTGTGTGTGTGTGTGTGTATAACAAATTGACTATAAATAATTATTAAATCTATGAAAAATAATTCCCTTGCAATAACATAAAGTATTTCCATAGACATAATCTTTATAATCTCATTTAATAAAAAATATTACAGCAAATTTATTTATATATATATATATATATATATAGATAGATTGATAGATTAATTCTTATATTTTTATGTTTTAACATCGTAATTAATATGTATGCCCTATTTGCACAATACCGAGAAAATAAGACAAAATTTTATGCAATGTGTTTAAATTTTATTATATTGAATAATGCAGATTTATAATTTTAAGTTTTCATGTAAACTTATATATAATTGAATTCCAAAATAATTAAGTTGAAATAAATTGATTTTTATTACTTTTAAGTTATAATATATAAAAAGCGTTTATTCTTTTCATGAAAAGTGAATATTAATGAATTTAATACACTGAAGTCTAATGTAATGCATATCCTGTGAATATAATGTCTGTATAATTATATTAATACTTTTAAAATATAAACAAAATGTTATGTGTTGTAAATTAAGTACTCTTATTAATTCAAAATTCGTAATCAAGCATTATAATTATAAATTTTTGCAATCGATAGTTTAATCGCTTGTTTGTGCGCGCGAGCGGGTGTGTGCAAATGAATATTATATTGATTTTGAAACGATGTCGCTAGTGAAGTTTGATTGAAGAAATCATTAATTGATTTAATTTTATGTAACAATTTAATAATATAACAAGAGGAGATTATAATTTATCAAAAACTGAAAGAAATATAATAAGACGCTCGCAATAAATTGGCTTTGATTAATTTATTAAAAGTAAATTAATATGTGCTCACATGTGAAGATAATAATAATCCGGATCAAATGGATGATTTAATGGATGTCCTCGATCATCCTTTAATATGAATAATGTTCGTCGAGAATTGAGTTTCAGCTTTCTGAGTATTTTTTTGTTGTTGTTTTTTCATATTGAACTTCAAATCGTTAAAGTGCGGCAAATGTCAATTCATTACATTCTTATATAAACAAGTAATATTTTCTCTAAAATTTGTTGAACAAATTATTGACATTCATCTGACAAAATCAATCTTACGATCGATCTTACTGTTGAACAAATTATTGACATTCATCTGACAAAATCAATCTTACTTTAAGATGATGTTTTATAACAAAAGATTTTAAATGTTTGCGTATGAGAAGTTTTAGTTAAAATTTGAATTCGTAAACATGAATATTATTCCACTAATAATAAAAGGCAGTTTGTGCTATAAATATTTACTTTTTAATCATCTGTACATGTTCTTACCCATTATCGTTCTCTCATTTCTTTTAACCATGTATTATTTCGAATAATAAAGAAAATATATATTCCTTAAATTTAATTAAATTAGAAAATAGAATTGTATTAGGCTTAAAAATAATTATTTAGACAAATTTTTTTTTCTTCTTTAATGTCATTTAATGTCATCGCAAAATTCTTGCGAAACACGTATGCGCGCACACTGTATACATGCGATTTATAATGTCTCGCACACTACACCAGTTTGACACGGGCGCACACACCACCATTGTCATGTATGAAGCCAATACTCTTTTATTATTGTCCACTTAATCTTTTTAAGATTTTGTTCAAATTTTTAAGTTTCCAAATAAAAGAGTACGAAAATTTTTCGATTTTTATTAATTCAGCATTCACATTCACACTACTATTAACAATTGAAAGTATCATCGCGTTAACTCAGTAATTAACGTGACGTTTTTAATATTAGTTAACTTTAATAGTAACACTAAACAGAGTTTGAAACATTTATCAAAATTATTGGCAAATTATTAAAAATATTAAGGATACTATTTTAGTATTAAAAAATGAATGTGAATTCAGCATCGATAGAGTTAAGTTCTTATAGAGATCAACATTTTAAGGTTCGTATGCTACAACATAACCTCCAATTTGGGTGTTTAAAAAAAATTTTAATACACTGTAACTCTCTCATTCGTTAATATTTATTTATCAGAATTGTAAATACAATAAGTTGCTTTATCAATAATTAATTGAATTAAATTTAATTAGGGTTCTCGAGCTGAACAAGATAGGTTATTAAGGACGTCTTGTACGCTGTATGTTGGAAACTTGTCATTTTATACTACAGAAGAACAAATATATGAGTTATTTTCAAGATGTGGAGATATTAAGAGAATAATAATGGGTTTAGATAAATATAAGAAGACTCCGTGTGGATTTTGTTTTTTGGAGTATTATCAAAGAGCCGACGCTGAAAATTGTATGCGATATGTAAATGGAACTAGGCTAGATGACAGAATAATCAGAACGGATTGGGATGCTGGTTTTATCGAAGGAAGGCAGTACGGCCGTGGAAAAACTGGAGGACAAGTGAGCATAATTTTGTGTATATAAAATAGGTTAAATTGGCCTCGTTGGGTTGAAAGAAAAAGATCGATAGAGGCGTTAAATCTTAGTTGTAGATAAATTTTAATGGAAAATTTAATTTACATTTAATGTTTTAGGTAAGAGATGAATACCGTTCAGACTTTGACAGTGGTCGGGGAGGATACGGTAAGATTCTTCAACAAAAAGTTGGCTCCATGGCTGAAGGTGCTTTTTGAAAAATCATTGGATAAACGAGTTAAAGTAGATAAGTTTAAATGTAAAATCTATTGAGACTAAAGATTTAAATTAAGTGACCAACAAAAATTAAAAGTGAACGAAAAAGTAGCATGTAAAGAAATTATTTTTAAGTATTAAATAATATTCTATTAATGTTATAAATAACTGATACTATTTAAATGAATGAAATTTTGCATAAACATTATACGACCTAAATTATACTATTAAATTATACTTGTGCATTACTTGGCTATGCAATATACAAAATTTATGTTGGAAACATATTTGATATCCTGTAATTAATTTTCTGTAAATCATATATTATAAAATGCTTCCGCTTATAATTTATGTAATAGACACTAAACATATATTTATTTAAGATCAAACATAATTTGAAAATAAAACATTTTCAAACATTAATTTGGAGTATAATATTATTATTATATATATATATATATATATATATATTCTTATATTGATTTCAATTAATCTGTAAGAGAAATGTTAATCAATTAATTTAAATATTTTTTATACAATAATGTATTAATTATTATGTTATATTATAAAAAATATATATTTTTTAATTGATACATTTTTTTTATTTTTGAAATTTTTATATTGTATAATTATTGATATTTCTATACATTGTAAAAAAATTAGGAAACAATCTTATTGAAAAACATGAATTTTTTAATTATTCTTGTATCTTTATAAAAAATTATTGAAACGCAATGTTTTTAGAAAAATATATCAATCATTTGACTGTATATATTTTGTTGTCATAATATACATTGTACATATCTGAAATTGTAATAAATGCAAAAATAAAAATCACAACTGTAGTAAACATTCATAAATCTAAGAATTAAATCCAAAAAATGTAAAAAGTGAATAAAGATCTTAAATATAAACAGTGATGATTTTTTAATATACATAAATATTGCTTTTTTTCTTCTTTTTTTTTACTCGATATTATTTAATGAAAAATACATTTTATTTATAAATAAATCTCAATTTATGTAGAAATGTAACGAATATGAAACATTACAATTGGAATTTCATATTAATAAATGTACTATAATTGATACAAAGAACAGAACTTTATTTTCCTAAATTTGGGAGGAATATGATTTATTAAGGCTTAAATAATATTTCATTTTCGGGAAATATCGTTTGCTTCTTCGGCGAACTATACTCTCTCAACGTCATTTTCTTCAATGAATATTTGCCTTTAAATAATAATTAATTTTATATTGAAACCATATTGCATTTGGAAAAAATCATTGATTAATTCTTGGTATATTAAATATAATTAAAATTTCTTTTAATTTCTTTAAATAAGGATGAGTTATCGATTTTTTATATTAATTTTTTTAAATTTCGTTTAAAATCATCTTCATTTCTTTTCATTTATGCAGTTCCTATCGCTACATAGTTAAATATATAATAATGTTGGGCATTTACAAAATGACTACAAATAAATATGAATGTGTATTTTAAATAAAATGTAATTTATGTAATTTAACCTTACCAATTTCCTATATAATACTTGTCTTATTGATCACGAAGTTTTAATATTTGCAAAAAATTTGAAGACTCTTTAACAAATAAAAATTTATTTATTATGTAAATTTCATTGTATTCGTAATACAAAGATTATGTATTATATTTATAATATGATATTTATTAGCACGCAAATTTAATGCATCGATAAAAGGATAATGATAATATAAATTAAAATAAAACAGAAATCAGAGAGAGAGAGAGAGAGAGAGAGAGAGAGAGACAGAGTGTGTGTGTGTGTGCGTGTGTGCGCGCGCGTGTGTGTTTGCATGCGCATGAAATGAGAGTTATTTAGATAATAAGGAATTGAAATTTATGATTCAAATTATTGTGTCGTTCGGAAAGTAATTTTATATTTCTTCTTAAAAAATATAAATATTTTATTTAAATATAAAGTTTTTAGATATATTTTGTTGTTTTTAGCATGTTATGATTTCATAAGGGTAGATCTTTGTTTGCAAAAACTTGGACCAAATGACTTTCGTTTGTAATAAATGTTCTTCGATCCAAAAAATGTTATGAAAACCAGAAAAAAAAATCATCGTTAAAGACTGTTTAATCTGGTAAATATGGTGGTCTCGATAGCTATTCTCATACATATTTTACAACAGCTTTTAAAGAACCAACACAATTAATTTTATGTCTGAGACACGACATAACGGTGTATCTACTCAACGATTTTCGATTATTTAATGAAATCGTTTTAATTATCCAATTACTATTTTCAGCTCAGAAAATTAATTGCCTTTTAATTGTAGCAAGTATAAAGTATCTGACCCTAAATTGCTTGCATTTAAGTTATAAACAATCGATTTTTCATTAATAATTATTATTCGCTTTCAATGCAGTTTACTTTCATGGCGTCAAAGAAAAACGAAACTTTTAGAAAGCGAGTAAAATCCAAATAACAATCGTTCAATCGCAAAGAAAACATTTTACAATACAATCATATAAGCCGACATAGATAAATTCAATTTCTTACTTTTCATCCGTGTTTTTGTTATTATTTGATGATTTGCTTCAATTAATATCATCTATATTTCATTTTCATCATATTCAATTTCATTACATTATGCGATGTGCTTTTAATATTGTGAATATTAATAATCTAAGCGTATTATAAATACAATGAATGCAATAATATCGATATTTCTCCATTAGCTAAAATAAAACATCAAGGAGTTATTATCTACTCTGTATTGTTTTTAAGACGATATAAGAACAAATTTTGACATTCTCGTTTTATTATTGTAGATTTTCGAATGTCCGCAATCACTTAATATGTAAACATAATATAGTTGACTGGTCTAATACTTGTTAGAAAAAAAAAAGAAAAAAGATCAAATTACTTTCTAAACCACTCAATAATATAGCATATCGAAATTTAACAATAAACGTTCTATTAAAAGAAAATTAATTAACTTTTATAATAACAAATATGGTTTAAAGACTAAAGTTATACTTTATTTTATTTTTTTTTTTTATTTTTTTTAATTTATAAATACCTACGTACATGCATGCATGCACACACACACACACACGCACGCGCACACACACACACACACACACCCTCCCATAGCATTATTTTTTTTCATTATAACGTTCTAAAGTATATTATTTTGTTAATATAATGAATTTTATTATATATAATTTTTATGAAATATTCATTACATAATTATTTTATAACTATTTAAATGTTAAAATTCTTCTATCAGCCTTTCTTATTGTACTAAATTAGTATTTACAGATAATTTTAATTTATATTACGGATAAATTTAATATATAAATAATTTCAATTTTATCGATTAACTTCAACTACTGTATTAGAAATGATTAAAATTACGAAAGCATTTTATTCAGCTTTCGTGTATCAAGAAATACTTTGATCTCATAAAAAATTTACCATAAATTAGTTTACGGTTATAAAAATTTATTTATCTTTTTTTTTTTTTTTTTTTTTGCTTTGTAAATTGAGCGCTAGAGAAAAAATTATGAAAATGGAGATGAATTTTTTAAGCGAACGTCAAGTTGTAATTGTAAACATTGTTTCGATTAGAACGAAATTAGAAAGAAATCTGGCATCGATCTATCTACTTAATATGAATATTATTAAAAACCTGTTTCATTAATACATTATTAATAAATTTATATTAATTATATATTGTCTATTAATTTGTACGGTGAAATGTATTTCACACAAGATGGGTCGGTAATTTACAACGAATTGTCAAATTTGCTCATTTAAAGAAGTTCCAAATGCTCGGTATTCGATTTAATGAAAAGTGATGACTTAGTGATGATTTTATCTACTATTCATTACTTCTTATTATGTTTTTTTTAATATTATTTGTTTGCTTATTAATTTGAAAATAAATAAATAATCATAATTATTTTTTATTTATTTATTTATTTATTTTATTATTATTTTTTTTTTATACAAGGTTATTTTTTATCAATATTTGCGTTTTCATTTATTTGAAAATATAGTGGAATAAATAATGGGTCCAGTCCCGCTATCATCAACGGTATGGGAAAATATCGAGGATAGTAAAGCCAGATTATGTAATTTTATCCTCGTTCGTTATAAATTTTTTTTTTAATCAAATTAATATTTGAAAATGATTATAGATTTAGAGAATTGTCAATGTACCGAGGAGTGGAATAACTTATTCCACTACCCAACTATTTACGTTTGTTAAATTTGTAACATAAACCAATAATAACGTATAAAATGATTTTATTAAAAAAAATTGCTTATGGCTAACTAAATGCAGTGCTAATAAATTAAAAAAATTGTCATTAATAATAATTAATATATATTGTTTTACTTGATGAATTTTATTACAAACAACGAAAATGATATCTTGAATAATATTACAATTCTCTACACTAATTGCTGATAAAAATAATCGTGAAACTACAAATGCATTAACTTTGCACTTAAATTCTAGTCGACCAAAGCCTTATGCAAATATTATTTCAATTTATGTATTTTATCATTTACAAGCGCTGTAATGTAATTTTAATTTAAAAAACGCAAGGTGATGCGCCTATACAGAGAATTGAAAGAGCGACATTAATAATTTACATATAAAAGTGTGTAAAGGCATCGTATAATACTTGATCATCGATTACGAATTATGTATGTAAGTGCACAAGCGAGCACACCGTTTTAATCGAAGCAAGTACGCGCGCTTCGCCATTGCCCCACATTCCCCCTACTACGATCGAGAAGATATTCGCAAATCTAACATAATTCATTAATATTCATCTTCAGTCGAATAAGATAAAATCGGCAAAGCCCTTAATATATTTCATTAAGGCTGTCGTCGAAAGAATGATATTTACAAAGGATCTATAAAAGAATGGTAAGCTAGTTAACGAGGTACTGTAAATTACGTTCGCAGCGTGGCAAACACATACGCAATGTTACATTTACAAATACATATTGCTGAGAAAGTCTTTGGCGTGCTCGGCTGCGTAGCAAGTGCCAACGCTGGGGAATACATCACGTTACGTTCACATCATGCAGCAGAGCTTCCGAGCCGAAGAGGGTCTTTTGAGAACTGAGCGCACCGCCTCGATGAACACCTCGTCAAGGCCTTCCTGCATTTTCGCCGAGCACTCGAGGTACTTGTACGCTCTGATCTTCTTCTTCATCTTCTTGCACTCCCGAGGACTTATTATCTCGTTGCTCTCCAATCTCAGATCGCCTTTCGTACCTGAAATAACATTCGCCATATTCAGTAATACGAGCGTGAAAGAGTTTTAGAAGAACGTTCCTCTTTTTCATTCCCTTAAAAGTATTTGTGAAAAATCTTCTCACATCGACGTCACCACACAAACTTTATGTACTTCGTAGTCGGTTGTTTTCGGTAACTTGTCGAGTAGCTTAATTATATACCCCGAGTCTTTTACGCGAAATTATGTGAAATTTGTGTAAGCACGAATCTTTCTGTTACTCGTACAATCAAAGCATTGCATTGTAATAACTTATATAAGAGCATATTATTTTATTTTTTATGTTTTTTGTTTTTTTTTAATTTTTTTTTTTTTTTTTTTTTTTTTTTGTTTTTGTTTTCATAAATAAAATAACGTACATCTGACTAAAGCACACAATTAAAGCTGAAAGAGCTCGAAGGGTCGAAATGGAATAAAAAAAAAAAAAAGAGAGAAAGTTTCTTTCTCATACAAAAGCCATACATCGTCTACAAAATATTTTTATAGTTTTGAGTTACCGAAAGAAAGATAAAAATTCATAATACAGCGAAATTAACACACCCGAACAATTTAGCTCGATTATAAAATATATTTAACGTAATTGTCACAAAAAGTAATTCTGTTAACAAAAACAATGCCTTAATTTTAACCAAATTTTACTACAAATCTAATTTGATACAAATCTGATTTCAACAATGTACTCACCAATTAAAATTATTGGAATATTTGGACAATGAACTTTAAGTTCGGGATACCATTTGCTGGCTATGTTTTCATAAGAGCTGCGTGCATTTATGGAGAAGCATAATAGGAAACAGTCGGTCTAAAAAACAAATTTTCACAATTTATAATATTTCCGATATCCATAGGTCATTTAAAATTAAACATTATATTTATTTATTTATTTATTTCTTTTTTGTTTTGTTTTTGTTTTTTTCTTTATCGATTCGCGCCGACGCATTTATTTGTTTTAATTACCTAAAGATTATATTTGCGTGCTAGTAATGGGATCCCTGATTTCGCTTTAATAAATATAATGTGCAAAGTTGCATAAAATCAAAATCTTAATGAAAACAAAATTTAAAGCAATTGGCGCACAAATACGAAATCATATAGCATTTTTTCGTCTTCTTGATCTTTATTTTTTTTTTTTTTTTTATTTTTTTTTTCCCCCTTCAAGTCACATAAATTCGGCAATTTTTAAGCGTAATTTGCATTGACAGACGAATAGTCCTAAGTCTATGCTTTAATAATCTCGCTTGTAGCCTTAATAATTTTAATATATTGTTCATGAATGTCTCGTTATCATACGTATAAAAGTATAAACTTAATTATGCCTCACGTTTGGATAGGACAGAGGCCTAAGTCTCTCATAATCTTCTTGTCCCGCAGTGTCCCAAAGTGTAACATCGTATTCCTGGCCGTCAACTTCGATAGTCTTTGGGTAGTTTTCAAAGCTATAAAGAACAAGGATCCAAGGATGAGAGTTGGTATTGATTAAAAAAAAAAAATAATAATAATAATAATAAACCCGCGTAACACTCGGAACAGACGTCTTGGGGAACGCCTTCCATTTGCATTCCTCCTATATTATTCGATTGGCCTTCAAGGATACGATAGATCGGAATGAACAACTTGCTCGTGTGTATGTGTTATCGCGCAAACATAGTACTGTACATACATAGAGAAAACTATTTTTAAATCATTCATCGTTCTGGCCACATTAGTAATAGGAAAATCTAACGAACATTTCGAGCCACTGAATAGTAGTTTCCCCATAGAACTGATTTGGTAATCATTGTTATGACGTCATTACCGACGAGGAGACATCAGTCTCCTTTTATTCTTTTGATAGGTAACCTCTTAATTTTTCTCGCGATATTGTTTGCATTACTCATTCAAATTTGAACGATTTTTAGATGATTTGCAAAGTCGATATTTTTACATGTCTTTGGGTACAAGTTTATGAAGTAATTAAATTATAAATTCGTTGAATATTTGTATATATACATTAAATTTAGCGAGATATTATAGTATTATTTTTAAAAAGAATATTATTTTTGTAATAGTCCTTTTAAATACAAAAGGATAAACAACTAGAATTTACGAATTCACGAATATACGAATGACGATGATTCGATAAACGGATTTTAAAACAATTTCTGAGCTCTATTCCATCCTAATGAATATCACAAGTACATTGGCAATTATTAAAGAAAGAATTTATATAAAAATATTTAATTTCACAACTAGAAAAAATGTCATAAAAATATTATTGTTAAATTTTTTTCTTTCTTCAATTTTACATAACTAGGAGAATATGCGGTAAACGGCATAAACATAAACATAACTTTGTATTTATATCTTTAAGTATTTACTAGAAATTATACTTGAAATATGACTTAAATGTCGTATTTGTGTCGATTATGTTTTCAGAATATATTTTCCTAAATTATATTCTTTAAAAGATTAGAACTTTCTTAGCTACAAAATTTTATACTTTTGACAAATATTGATTTGTTTTCGACCGAATTATTGCCAATAGATAAAATTCTGTAACCGTGTTATTTATAATAGCAAAATAATACTTTCAGTCAGTTTAATTTAAATCTAAGTTTCATTCGCGACGATTATGTAAATATATTAAAATATTAAACAAATTTAATTCAGAGATTAAACGAAAAAAAAAAAAAAAAAAAAAAAAAAAAAAAAAAAGATAAATGAAAAAAGAAAAAACAGTTTAATTTAATAATTGTTACGAGTAATATTTTAAATTATTCGATAGCGTATTGAAATTTTTGAATATTTTTTGTTAACCCGATCAAATGTAATTGTGTTGTGATTATAATTTAGAAAAAATTTTCTCCCTAACATCACATTATTTAAGTAATATTTAAAATCTTTTGGTAATAATTGAAATCATTTCGACGTAATTATTTATTATATAAGTTATTATTTTAATAGTAATAAAAAATTTTAGCTCAAAATTTCAATATTAACGATAAATTCATGCAAATATTTTAATAAATGATTTTAAATGTTTCATATTGGATATCAGCTCTTCCAAATATCACGCGGAGGCTCAAAATTTTCTATTTTATTTCAATTTGACTAAATACTAGATTTAAATATTTAATATATTATCACTATTGCATTGGCAAACGTATTGCGCAGTCAATATCACAATATGGACATAATCAATTACGTCAAGTGGCAATAAAAGAAGCATTACAATCACGTTATAAATTATCGTTTGAAATATATTTTGAGCGATTACGTAGACGCCAAATTTTACGTCGTTGGGAGGGGGGGGGAGGGAAGTAATAAGAAGCGCAAACTACTTTTCGAGTAATCGCGCAAAATCCTTGGTAAACAAAAATTATTTTATTCCGAAAGTTTAAAGTAGCAAAGGTTCTAACACACTTACGGCGACACTAGCAAAGTCCCCGAAAACCCTACGATTGTGTAGGAAAATTAATAAAACTCACACGGTAGGAATATATTCCATGGGAAACTTTTTTTCTGTATACGTGATGAGCATGCAGGTCTTGCCGACCATACCGTCGCCCACTGCCGTGATTTTTATTGGCCTCAAGCGTGACATGGCTTTTGGTTTGTCTGCAACAAATAGAAATTCATTTAAACTTTACCATACTAATATTGAAAAAACAAATGCAAATGGCTGTAAAAGTTTATGAAACATTTACTTACTTAGAGATATTTGTATCCTAGATAGGTAAAGTTAAGTGCATCCGATGTAATAATCATTGGTAAATATTATTACTCGAACAATTTAGAAGAAGAAGAATTTAGAAGAAGAAGAAGAAGAAGAAGAAGAATTTAGAAGAAGAATTTAGAAGAAGAAGAAGAAGAAGAAGAAGAATTTAGAAGAAGAAGAAGATGATGATGATGATGAAGATGAAGTAAAAGATGAAGAAGAGGCTTGATTTATTGAAATAATGCCCGTTGAAACGAATAGGCGCATCCCATGTATTGTTACAATGATGATGATGATGATAAACATTTCTTAGTTATAATTAAAAAAGTGTTGAAAACTGAATTGATAACTTTTAAGTGGCCTCGGCATTAAATAAGCTGATATCGAAGAACGTATGAGTGCCTTTCCCGTCGACATTCTGTCCGTCGCTGCTAACAAGGGAAATAATTGGAATTTCCTAGAGGAAATACGCCCAGGCGTCGCTCGATGTGCATTATGCACGCGGACATTCCTGCACGCGACGTCAACGTCTCATTTTCATTCCGAATCGCTCATCTGTTGACCCGAATCGGCTTTGCACTTCGACAAATCGCGCACGCGCACAGCCGGATGTTTCCATTTATTATCCATTTGATTTTCATTGTCGCCTCTGTCGGCATTGTCATACGAAAATTGGCAAAATACTTCCTAGATGTAATAGATAGTCTGAATCGTAGTTACAAGTTGCTTTAATGAATTAGCTTGGCGTTTGCGTTCCAATAGACAAGATTTGCTCGGGCTTTGAGTAAAATCGCTGATGAGTAAACATTGAAAATTCGTTGTTACACGAATAGACTCGTCTTCACAAGTGAATTTATAGTATTATAAACAGATGTATTGGGTAACTCACTTATTTTAAGGCAACTAGCCCTATTCAGTGCTCGATTATATTTATTGAAGCAAATGAGCTTTCGAACTTTCGAACGCCGAGCGACTCGAGCATCTCACGATTCCATGTATTTCATTAATATTTCTGTTCATATAATTAAAAAAATCATATAACGAAACATCATGCTTTTAACGAGCAAAATGAAAATCGCTTATTTATATATATTTATATTAATTATCGATTTCTTCAAATGTGCATATCTACCAACTCATGAAACCGTATACTAATGCATTTATTTGAAGTTAAAAGAAGCGTATATTATCTTTTTACGTATTTATATATAATAAATTTAATAGGAAATATCCAATTCTAATTTTATTTCATTCAATTTCATTAGTTAAATAATAGATTGTACATTTTAAAAGCCGCTCGAGCGACCAGTTCTATAGCTTTAAGAAAATACACTTTGTAATCAAGTGGATTACAAAATTGCATTAAATGCATTCAGCAATTATCGATTACAATTCTCTGACATTACAGGTAATGTATGCATAGTTGAGGAATAAGCCACTTATTATGCATAATTTTATTTATGAAGTGTTATCTGTGTAATCGATACTGCAATTATACGCCACGACGTGCACTCGATCGCACAACTATTAACGAAAAGTATTTAGCCACCAAAGAGTCAATTTTTTTTTTGCATTCTTTTATAAAATAAGCAGTACTTTATCTTACTTACTATTTAATATTTCTAAGATAAAATTAAAGAGAGAGGGAGAGAGAGAGAGAGAGAGAGAGAGAGAGAGAAATGTTCCTCATTCTTTTATTAATCAATGCATATTCGCATTACTGTTATCGTTTATTAATAAACGGAGGTGGTAAATATAGTTGAGATGGTAATTTTTTAATTTCGAACGAAGATTAACGATATCTGCAAAAGGGCGCAGAGTCGAACTCGCCAATTACAATACAACATTATCCATTAAATGGCCATCGAAATGGCAATTGACTAGGGCTAGGATCGTTATTTTAAGGCAGCCATCTTAAATCAGATGTCAGCCCAAGTGCCAAACGATTAATTCTCGAATATGCAGGTACGCGCAGTCGACGTATGACGAGCGAGCTTGGCTAAAAATAAAGGAGCATCGAGGAAGATGCTCGATTCGACTCGCGTCGGGATCAGAAATCGATTTATTCATTCGTGTCGGCGGAGACGGTGTCGAGGGTTGCCCCTACGGGTCGGCGCATCCGGCGCTCGGCGCTGTTGAGTCGCTGAGGTCCGCGCGGAGGAGGCCGTCATCGGCATACAAAGTGCCGGTCCCGCGTCGGCTGCACATTTGCGCGAATTGCTAACGCAATCGCGACGACCCAACGATGGACTTTGTTGGGCATGTTCCTTGAATAATTCGCAACTAGCGGCTCCACGAGACGATAGAAAATCGCTTATGGTTGGACTATTTATAAGAGTCGTCTTGTAATCTATGACGTTGCGCTGCTGAGATCAAATCGCAAAACGATGAGCTCGATGATCTTATGGATGATGATAGTCGTTATCCTTGATAGCCCGTTGTCCTTCTATCTCAACTTGCTTGAAACTTCAAAATTAAATAGATTTAGTCATCTTGAGTTCGATCGAATATCAAATTCGTTAATGTATTTCTCTATCCATCCATATATTGCGTATCCATGGATAAAGTATACTCGTGCTTTACTTGAAAGCCAAATATAACTTACGTAAGCATAATGTTGTAAGGAAAATTATGTATACTTAATTATGTGTTTACGGAGAGTGAAAAATCTCTGGCAATCGAACATATGTTTTAAATTGATTGATTATCCAAAAACATAGTTAACATAATATGAAGATTATAATACTTGTCGTTATACTTTAAGCTATGGTAATTGTTTTTGCTTCAAATGACAAACACTAGATCATTAGATATTGCGTCACTATTTATAAATACATAAACAATTAATCAATTAGCTTTCATACGAATTAAAATGAAAGCTCTTTGCAAATGTGCTTTGAAGAGTATATATTTGTTTTTTTTTTTTTTTTTTTTTTTTTTTTTTTTTTTGAACAAAAATTAGCCACACGTTTTGCAGTACAAAGAGAATGTTTTAAAGTAAGTAATCTATGAGATAGCGAAGACATCGGTTGTTTATCATACAAAACGATTAGAAAATGACCGTTGCATTACGTCGAAGTGTTTCTATCTCGTTGAATTCGTTTTTATACAAACTTGACATTTAAATCTACTTATAATTTTCTTTATTTCAGAATTATTTTACCATATTTAGTTTTTTTTGTTTTGTTTTTTTTTTTTTGTTTTGCTTTTTGTTTTTGTTTTGAATCCGGGCGTTGTCAAGTATCAAAGTATACATTTCTTATTGTAAATTCGTATGAAATAAACAAATTTACTTGCTTTCTCTTCTTTTTCTTCTTCTTCTTCGTTTTTATTTTTTAATCTATCATGTAGGTATGTGTGAATTGAACGACAAATGAGCTGTCGTATAATGTTTGCGATATAACATTCAACGTATAGTTTGCATCGAATCGACTACTCTTTCATCATACGCACACGCACACAATCGATGTTAATGTACCTGAGAGATTACCGAACCTGTATCGCGCCAATACCATTGCAAAAATAATAAAGACACCTGTACAATGTGTTTTTTTTTTTTATGCATTCGAATGATAATAATTGTAATATTTCATTCGCGTTGTGGATTATTATTATTTCTTTGTAACCTGTCGCATAGTATCAATGCTTGAGAAACAAAAAAAATTAAATCTTTGTTTTTAGTTTTGAATTTTTCACAAAATTTGTTATACCATTTAATACGAATGGCATTAATACTAATAACTCTATTGACAATTTTACGCAAATTGGCCGATTTAATGAATAATAATATTAAAACCATTTTTAAGTAATCTGATTCTATATAAATGCACTCTATCAATAAAAATGTCAAAAATATCAAAAAGTTAGTTATAAATATTTGCTTTTTGTATGATTATTAACTATAATTGGTAATATTAATATAGAATTAATAATAGAATTAATAGTGAAAAACCGCCAGATTACTCATTAAATTTCCATATGCGTATGTCAATTTAATAATTAATTTTTGACTTTCTAGAATCCAAATCGTAATCGTACATTATGACTAATATTCGTTTCTAACTACGGAAATTTAAAAAAAAAGCCACAGTTTTATCTCCAGTTCGATATGTTGAATTCTCATATTCTCATGACCCTTTTTTCGTATCAGCATAGAAAAGTAGCGTTTTCAACCAGTATTTTTAATAACTATATACTAATTTAGAGATAATAAAATAATAATTTAATTCGCGTAGAAGCGTAAGAGAAAAGAAAAAAAAACAGTTTGGGCTTATTTGAATTTTATACGAAAAGAATGCAATAATAACGAGGACATCAATCGATTTTTGTTTAACGATTTTTTTCTTCTTTAAACAAACTTTAATTGAAGATCTTTAGTAAATTAATTGGTAAATCGTTTAAAATAAATTTATCATATAGTTGAATGTTGTTTATGTTATAATGCAGTAAACGTCTTTGCTACTCAATGTAGAAATGACTTATCTTACAAAGGAATTCCATATGCTCATTACCCACTAACTACTTCCTACTGATTAAGTCATTATTCTTAATGATAAATGTATTGTAAATGATTATTTTTATCTTGTTTTAAAGTCGTAAAATTGTATAGGAAAAATATCATATTTGAATTACCTTTATTTCCGTCTCCAGTGCCCATTGAGATAATTTGATATTTCGGTTTCCTTATATATTTTCCTTTCCTAAAATCATCACAAGTATTAATTTTAATTTTAGTTCTTATAATAATAGTAAATTCTTTTTTCTTGTTATAGTAATAGTAACTTTATTCTTCTTATAGTAATAGTAATTTTTTTTTTTTTTTTTTTTTTTTTTTTTTTTTTATCAAACATCTCACGATTTTACAATTTTCTACTCAATTATTCAGTTTGGTATTTAGAATCGAATTGTTCTGCGTAAAATGTGAAATAGAACAAAAATTATTTATCTTATTGAAAATCAGTTGTTCAAATATTCAAACATTTCAGCAAAAATCTCAATAGTATTTGAAAGATTATCATCACACTACGGATAAATGCTGGAATGTTATAGAAATGCTAAGTAAATAAAGAAGAAAATTCGTTCGGTTTGCTTTTAACTGAATTATAGAAATAATTATTTAAATGTATTAATTCATCAATTGGAAACTATGTAATGACATTTTTCTGCGTGGCGTATTAAAATTAAGCATACAAGCAACAATGAATTGATAAAATTTTGATAAAATTCTAGAGTTTTGACTTAGTCGAGCACTTAGGAAGACTGCATATATTTATATTTATATCGAATTTTACTTATTTTATTTAAATCGGCTAATAATATTAGAATTAAACGTTGGTAATCATCGATGATTGTGGTATCTATCCGACTCCCAACTTCGTGGTTCTTTGTTCTTTAGCGAAATAAAAAATATATAAAAAGGAGGAAAGATAAATCAGGATTTCTATAAATGCAATGTAAGTAAATGCAGTTTGACGGGACTTTGAATTAATTCATACATTAATATGCAATTCGTTGGTGCAATATTAATAAGCTGCTGATTGTGCTAATAAGAAATGTTATTTTACTTTCCAAACTTCATTCTTAACTTACCAAATTTGCACCAAGCAATTCTAATGTTACAATCTATCTTTATTGCAATACATCATAATAACGTAAATCATCGTATTAACTGCACCAGCAAAATAAAGATTTCTGCTCTAAGAAAATTTGGTCAAGGATTTTTTTAGCGAGCAACGTTCGGCTCAATTTCCTGTCTTTCGAATATCAGTTTTGCCCATGCCTTTGTTCCCCTTCCCCGCAGCCCCCCTTTCCCTTCGCCGCCGCCACAATCCAGCCACGCTTATCGTTCAATGTGTGTCCTGCGAGTTTGCTCTACTCTTTTGATTATCAGTTGAGTAGCGTCCGTCCAGCGTAGGCTACATTTTGACTCGCAATGCTCGATCATTTGCGAAAGAGATAGAGGGAACGAGACTGTGACAACTGGTCCGGATAAATACGATAGGAGGACTTTTTATCAGGACTCCATTGATAATTGGCAGGCCTGTACATTTGACTTCGGGTATTCCAAGAGAATGCTTACTTCAATATTTTTTACAAACCATTGAGGCTGACCTCGAATGAAAATTTGCTCTTTCTTGTGCCCTACATCGAGGCAGAAGTCTCTCATCCCTTTCATCTATAATATTTTTATCTTTTAAAGATATTTAATTGAAAAATTAAATTTTCCACACGGCCCGTCAAAATTTAAATCAGCGGTACAGTGTTATTTATAAATTGACACAATTATAATGTCAATTATTATTTACTCAATAGAGTATTTTACTCTATTGATTGAATTAGAGCAACACGACATTTATTTAAGAAAACATTGTGTAATAATATATATTGGAAACCATCTAATTGAATTACATTAATATTGTTAATTTTCTAATAATCTACATTTTTAATATTTTAAGTTTTTTTTTTTTTTTTTTTTTTTGTTATTTTCATTTGGTGCTGTTGATGAAATCACCGTAAATTCACAATAAATTTTTCTCTTCCTCGTTAACTTCATGATTAATTAATACATTTAAGAGATTAACAACAATCAGATTACATAGCGCAAAAATAATTTGTTAATGCTCTTCTTATGCCGGAATTATAGATACGAATGAGCTCATCGCTATATCATCATGGAATATAATTTTAAACTGAATACTTTTAAATTAAAATAAAAAAAAATCGATCGATTACATTCTGCAAGTATTGTGCTAAACAAATTCATAGGTATTTGACGAGTAATTTAATATCCCCGATCTTGCCAATTAATACTATCATAGATTGGCATCCGTAACAATAATCCAACTGTTTATTTCCTTTACGAGTAGACTTTTTACACGCTTGATTGTACATAGATTGTAAATAAAAATCGGTCCTTAAGTCGACGAAGTTCGAATTTTGGGAAAGTTATTTCATCAAAAGTTTACGCATGCATGGTGTAAGGATAGGAAGGCGATGGCTTCTTATGCCGCAAGCGTATTTGAAATTCAGCTCGGCTCGTGTGACACGACGCCAAGGCCCATCGAGCCATCCTTTACAACTCGTGGCCATTAGGCTTGGAATTAAAAATTAAAAAGGGACGACGGGTGTACCAGGGCCGCAGCATCATAGAGGATACCGCGACGGAGTCTTACGTGTCTTGATTGCCGGATTACGGGCTTCGATACTCGTTTTCAGGTCATCGACTGTCGCTTCGACTTTAGCGACTGTCCTCCATATTTTTTAAACACATGCATGTCTTCGTGGATCGTAACTACGTATCCGTAACTACGTACTTGTGATGTTTGATTCTTACGGATTATGTTGCTGCTCAAAATATTATCTATGTTGAGGTTTAAGTAATTTGTCAACTTGATATAATCAGGAGTACGTATGATACATGCGCTCTTTGTTTATTACTCGTTCAACCAAAGCTCGATAAGTCTAGGTTGAAAATCACCGTAACCTCATTCGATCACTCCGTCTGTGCATATATATATATATATATATATATATATATATATAAGAATATATGGTTATCAAGACTATTTATTGCGAGCATTGATTAATTTACGAAATTACGATACTTTCTAGATGCTCCTGTATTACGCATAAAATGTCAAATATTTTGGATCTAGTAATAATAATAACAACAAGAATAACAGCAATAATAATAATATTAAATTTCAAAAATGATTGCCGACAAATTTAATATTATTACAATACTCTTATATTTCGTAGATATATAATAAGTATGAGTAACGAGCGATTTATTACCAATGTATTGTTACCTTTTTTTTCGTACAATCACGGTTGAGTTGTGCTACTACTAATTGTAAGTAAATAAGCGAGATATTAACTTTTCATAAGTATATATACTTGGATATTAGAAATTATTAATTTATAAAATAACTGCATACTACGATTTAATAAATCAATATACATAAATATAAATAAAATATCTACATTAAGTTCAAATGAGTCGTATTATTGTCGTATTGGTATACTTTTTGCCACTGATATTGCTAATTCTTCGAGTGACTTGAAAACGATCTCATTAGCTCGCATTAAAAACTGGGCGCCTTCGACCGCTAATACTCAAAGTTGTCGAAATTTGCATAGTTCGCGCAAATCTTCTAAAAAGATTATGCGCAAACGCCTTTTACGGCTTACACGCGTGTATTGCTGACGCGATGAAGAAAAACGATTATGATTACGAACGGGATGGTGGTGGCGAGGAGCAGGTAACTACGTAAAACGATAGTATTCCTCGCGATCTACACTACACCGTCCATATTACGCGCATGCTCAGTATTTCCGGAAGATCGTAGTCAAAGAGAGAAGAGTGAAGTGCGCGATGGTGCGATGTGCGCAGGCCACCTCATCCTCGGAGAGATTTTTTCAAGTCTCGCCGCATCCCTTATCACGCTCGCACTTTATTTTCGCGAGGGGATCGCATGATCTACGACTCTCGACTCTCATGACCTCTCTCATCTCTTGTTACAACGGTTGGCCAATGGATTGCAATTTCACTTGTAATTTGTACACGCCTGTTTGCATATAGTCAAGGAAATCTAACGGCGCCAATTGACTTTTTCAATTTCCAATTTCAATTTCCAACAGCGGACTTCTATGATATCGCCTCTCAAATAATTATTAATAAATATTATAAATACGGTGAACAATTAATAACAGATTTACACGTAGTTTCGTATCGTTTATGTAATACATCAATAATAATGCAAAAGATGTGGCAGATAAATTTGTACCAGCTTCGGTTAGATTTTTATAGCCAAGTCATATATTATAAGATTTTACAAGGTATATTGTATTAAAAAATATATTACATGAAATTACAAATAAATTATATTGATAGATTGATAGATCTGTCCAGCTTTATGCTTCAAATGCTGTCATACCATAAGTTATTAAGCTTATAGTTTCCAAAAAGGAAATTATAAGTAAACCAATACTTTCTTCTTTCTAAATTCATCGACTACAAATTCTTATTTTTCAGAGGGAGAGAGAGAGAGAGAGAGAGAGAGAGAGAGAGAGAGAGACATAAATACGAACGTATACAGTACGATACCTTTATTACGGTATTATGCGATATAAAATATTTATTTTCTCTTTTATATGAATTTCTAATACTATAATATCTTGAAATGTTTAATTTTTTATCTTAAATAAATGAAATATAAGCTTCATCAATTATTTTAATCATAAAACTCCATAAAACATGGAATAATGGAGCCTTTATTTTCAATTTGTCTTCTATAGTGAAAACATCCATATATGAACTTTCCAATTCGCACAAATCGCGAACGAGAAGAAAATTCGCAAACAACCGGTCATATTGTCGCCTCCTTTGGCGCTGACCTCGACCTCTTTTATTCCTTTGCTTTTTCATCGGTTGGTTAAATTATTTTTTTTTTTACTCTTACATTTGTATCGCAAGTAATTTCAAAGTAGAAAAACATGAATGTAATTTAATGAAGATTTGATTTTCAAAAATACTCATCCGTAATTATTCTTTTAATTAAATGTCGATTCTTTTAGGATTAAACTGCATTACTTTCCCACACATTACGACTATTTACCATTAAATTTATTAAATTAATACATCATAAATGAAATTTATGAAAAATTACTTTTATCTTGAATTTTATTAGAATTTATAG